TGCCCCTTTTCACGTAGGCTAGAAATGCCCCTTACCATATCTGATAAGTGCTACTTCATCACTATTACCTCTTTTTAAATCTGAGAGGTGACCCTTATAATTTGACAAGTGCCCCTATTCATCTCTAGATCTTTTAAGTGCCGCTTTTATTATGACACGTGCCCCTTATCTTTTATAATAAGTGCTATTTTCTTTCCGATGATTAACCTTTTTCCTTTGAAATAAGTGCCCCTTTTCCGTTGTTATAAGTGCCTTTGTTCGTCTCTTGTGAGTGCCTCTTAGTAAGTGCGAAAGGTGCCGCATTTCCACCTCTGGTAATTTCCCTTTTTATTTTATCATGTGCTCGTTTACTTTTCTAATATGGGTCCTTTTCCCTTTGGATATGTGCCCCCCCCTCCTTTTCCTCCTAAAATGTGCTCCTAATTTACAGCGACTAAGAGCAAATTGTTCTTTAATTCCCCCCCAACGCTCACTTTGAATGACGCTCTGTCGCCCCTGCATAAATCTGAAGAAGCGCCAAAAGAATATCCTGCCTTTAAAAGACGAAAAGAGGTAAATATATAGGCATACGGACGATTATAGTTTGAGAACTATTTTGTCATCTCTAGCATGTCATCTCAAGTGCATTCTTTGGCTAGTGTTTTTTGTGGACAATTATATGTATGTAATCACCTCTTTCCTGCATGTATTTTAGTTTTCCTTTGCTATCCATATATTCTTAATATTGTGCCTCGAGTTTTGGCAAATTGGCGGACTTATATTTTTCTTGGGGAAATACAAATCGATAATGATTGCAAGCTTATAACCTGTTCTAGTTTCTACCACCATTTGAATCGTTTTTTCATGTCTTTAGGAATTAGGTATACAAGTCATGGCTATTATTCAAAGTTGATTCTTTCTCAACAAAATTCAGTTTCTATTCATTTTTTTAACTGCAATAAGTCTATCACGGTAAATCGCATTATGGCCGACGTGAGTCAAGAAATCATTATGACGACGTCATTGACACTAGGACAGAGTCATTGGAGAAACAAACACCACCCCGTATAATTGTCAAGGTTTTATCCTAGACGTTATAAGTACTTACTTACACGAATGCCAGGTCCGGGTTTTCTCTCTCACTTTATAAATATTTCCTTACTTACCTGCATCTTGCATCCAATTAAGTGGTCGTAATTTAAGAAGGATATGGCAGCTGTTCAAAGCCAAATAAATTTGAATCCAATGCGGCCTCTGATTTATACATCATCAAAATAATAATGGTTAGAGAAAGTTTGAAAATAGCACTTGTACAAAATTAAACATGTCCCACTTTGTGCAAAATAATAATCACTGCCAAAGAGTCGCTTCATAAATACATTTTGTTTGCCCTACTTAAAAAGTACCATGAGTGCATCAATTAAAACTGGTCACACAGCTGTCATGAACACGTATCCAACCTGCGTTTCGAAGAGTTTTAAAGTTGTGTATTTTATATTTCAAACTATTAACACATAGCCACGCGACAATAAGTTATTGCCATGTATATGTCCTGAAAAGATTGATGAAGTCGACCAGAATTAATTTTGCGACTCAGTTTCAAAGACAATCATCTCAAATCGGTCTCTCGGTAGATACAGCGCGTAATTTGTTTAATTTAAAAAAAAATATATATATATATATATTAGGCAAATTTACAGGTTTCCGTCCAATTTCAAAGTTTTTTCGAGTCCATTATTTGATAAAAACGTTCATTCAAGTTAGTGCAAACCCCATTTTCGACTGCGACTTTCATTCAAAAATGTACTTCAGTCTTTTAATTTAGAGTATATCTTACGAGCATGGTGACCAGGGGCCGCGATCCCGGGGGACGGGGGGACACTTCCCCCCTCAATTTTTTTGTCAATAAAAACTGACTGAAGACTAGTACATACTTTTAGGCTCTGGCGGGCCCACGAGTGCAGCGTTTAGAGAAAATACAAAATCTTTTTGCTCGGTCGCTATGCTCCCTCACATAATATCCTTCAGAATGTACAAGTAAATTTTGTTGGTATCGCCGTGATACCCACTGGTGTACTGATGGGGGGGGGGGGCGGCAGTTCCCCCAATAAAATCAAACGTGGTTTATTTCTAAATATAATTTACAAATGCTGCTGAAATTACATGATTTTCTGTGATTTTACCTCACTTTTTCGTAAATTATAATTTCTTTTGCGTTTGTTGGACGATGAAAAATTCAGAAATATACAGTCAGGCAAAAATATGCTTATTAAGAGGACTGAATGTCAGTGTCCACGGAACAGCGGTCAGGCGCGCCGGAAGCAGTTTGGGATTGGGGGGGGGGGAGGGGCAAATATTCCAGGGGGCTCACCCCAAAAATCAGCAAAAACGTTTGGAAGGGGGGGGGGGCAGGAGAAAAATCTGCATCACCACCACTTTTACACGTTACATGCAGGCCCCGCGGAACGTTTTTCAAAAAGGAGTATTAACGATCAGGTAGAGCGTAAATTGGCGTGGGGTCCAGGGCCTGATCCCCGACAGGGGGTCAAGGGGCTGAGCCTCCGCAGAAGCTCAGGGCGTTTAGGCATTAAATTACGGTTAGATAAGCATATTTAGATACCTTATGTGTGATACTGGCAGGTTACTAATTGGCGGGGATTTCAGGGGGCAGAGCCCCCGTAAGCTCCTAAAATCAACTCTATTTATTTATTGCAAAAGAAAGCCCTTCGTATATGTACTGGTTCACCATAATTATCTCACACAAGTCCAATATTTTACGTAAATGAAAACCCTAACAGTATTCGACAAAAATTCGCTACAAAGTTTACTGATCATGTTTAAGTATAAAAATAATATGCTCCCTCTTTCATTTCAAAACTTTTACACTATGAATAAAGCTATTTACTCTTACCCAACCCGTAATTCCTCAAATTTTCATCTATAACCCGAAATTACTTATTGCCCATAGATCCAGCCTGTTCCTGACCTATGGAACTCTCTCCCAGAATCTATTAAATCATGTTGTTTCCTTTACTCATTTAAGGCCAAAGTTAAAACGTTATTATCAGAATACTCAAGGTAAAATTTCTGTGTCAACTCTTCATTCTTTATCATGTCATCTCTTCTTTCATTCGAATCATTATCACCATCGTCATCATCATCATCATTATCATCATCATCATCATCATCTTCATCACCATCCTCACCTGCATCACCATCGTCGAAATTTGTATTTTCAATTACCTATCCGTTTCTGCTTAATAAAATGTGTTAATATATTATGAGTATCATGAGTTTTTGTCTGGGGCTGTCATATTATCAAGCAATCTGCTTACGATGACAGTCCTTCTTCCGCAAATAATTGTATAATATGTTTTAATGTTTGAGGAAATTTAGTATTTGTGACAGTTTATCATTTCGTTTTTAAAAGTAACAGTTATTATGTATATGTATTTGTTAATTTATGATTCATTTTCAGTAAAATACTAACTGTACTTTATATTTTTGTTATCGAAAAACTGTAAACTATAAATCAAGTCAAACTCAGTGGTTTTAGATATTTACCTACGGTCAGACGAGCATCCAGGGACCGCCTTAGGGCCCTTGATGGGGTCCAGGGACGGAACCCCAGTAAGTTCCGGGATTTTAGGCATTTAATTTCGGTCAGATGAGCATATTTGGATACCTCATTTGTGACATTGGCAGGTCACTTATTTTTTCTCTATCTCTTTCTTACTTTTTCTCTGTAACATACTTTTTCAATAAGTGAGGGGGGCTCGAGCCCCCGAATCCAGCCGTTCTGCAGACCCTGACATAAAGGCTTCTTAATAAGCATATTTTTCGACCGACTGTAAACTTGGGAATTTCTAATTTTCCAACAAACGCATAAAAGGTATGACTTACCCCAAAATTTAGAAAAAATACCGGAAAATCATCTCATTTCAGCAACATTTGTAAATCACTGGTATCGAATAAACAATAATCCCTCCCCCCCCCCCCCCAATCAGTACGCCAGCGTTCAGGGGCTCATGTCTTCCCACCCCTGTAACAAAAAACACATGAATACGGACTTGTTAATCAATGAGGTATCAAAATATACTCATCTGACCTTAATTAAATGCCAAAAAACCCCGAGCTTCAGGGTCTCAGCCCCCTGCACCCCGGCCACACCAATTAGTGACCTGCCAGTTTCACAATTTAGGTGTAAAATTATGCTCATCTGACCGTAATTAAATGTCCCAAAACACCTGAGCTTCCGGGGACTCCGCCCTTTGATCCCCGCCAATTTACGCTATGCTTTACCTGATCGTCAATACTTGAGACCCCCCCCCCCCCCACTAGCTTTGAAAAACATTCCGCGCGGGCTTGCATTTAACACGTAAGAATGGTGGTGATGCGGTTTTTAATACATATTTATATATATACATTAAATACATATGTATATATATATATATATATATATATATATATATATATTAAAATGTTGCCCCCCCCCCCAAAAAAAAAAAAAAAAAAAAAAATCCGGTTGAGTCAGTGCAAAAAATTTCCTCAACAACAGAACCGAAAAAAGTGCTCTTACCCCCCCCCCCCCCCCTCCCCCTCCCGCTTATTCGTCGCTAAATATTTTTTTAAAATTTGCCCCCCCCCCCCCCCCCGTCTTGCATGCCGCCGGCTGGATCCGCCCCTTGGTGATACCAACGGAATACAGATTTCCCTCGCATTTCGCTCCTCCTCCCCCCCCCCCCCCCCCCCCTCCCGGTCAAATTAATCGCCGCTCCTAGCTGCTCTGATATCGTGACCCCTTCCGCTTCCCCCGAAAAATAGAAAAAGAGTCTAACTAACCTGCCTAACCCTGTGGTATAATAAATTGTACAGTACGTTCATCCTAACTCTGATTGGTTGTAACTTCTTACATGTAGAGTACGTAGTATCTGTATATAAAAATGACCGAAGTATCACGTGATCTTTACACTTGATTGGGCCAGTCTAGTCACGTGTAACGTAAAAAATAAACACAGTGATAAAGCATTGCGAAGTCAAATTGTATCCACCCACCCTCTCGTACTCGTCGCGTCGTCTCAGCTATAGACCTCTAGTTCTTCGTTTATTATCATATATTTTGGCCTTTTGTGCCCATGTTGACATTTTGAAACTTGCCTAAAATCTTTTAAATCTCAGTATGTCTGGAACTAATTACCAAGCATTTCACAATGAGGGAGACTCACAACAGGTATGAATTTCAAATTATTCAAATGAATATGAATTGTTCTTGTTCACAACTATGACCACTTTATGCCCGTGACTTCGGCGTGGAGATTCCTTACTAGACCTATAACACTCCAAAAGTCTAAATCATCCACAATTAGTCAAATAACGGTCATGAATTTAGTCATTACCTTTGTTACCTGTCTCGTGTCAATTTTCTTATCTAAGTAGATCTAGCTAGACCTAACTTAGATACACAGGTTTCATCTTCACAGCAAACCGCCGCACAATCAAGTGCATACTGACAGTAGGGTGCCAGGCCGGGCCGAGTGCGAGCGTGCGTGCGTGAAGTAAGCGACTGTAAAATAGTGATCATCATCAATTCGATCATGATGTGATTTACTTTCATGAATCTATAATGAGGATCTGAAATTACAGTCTCTAACTTCACGCACGCACTGCACTCCGGCCGGCTTTCATCGAACGGGTGCGGTGCGGTGCGGCGCGGTGTGGTGTGCTCAACGCACCCATTCGATAAAAGAGGGGGGCCTTTTCTCGAAAGGGTGCGTTGAGAGCGGAGTACCGTTTTAACACACCCTTTCGATGAAAGCGGGGGGGCTTTTCTCGAAAGGGTGCGTCGACTAGTCTTTCGCATCAGTCGTTTAAAATGAGGATCTCGGACAGAAGGTAATAGTTGCCAATTTAAGTATATCGAAAATGTATTAGATAAAATGGAATGGTCTTGATTACAGAGTGGTCTTTTTCGTTATTACTATGTTGATGGGGGAGACAGAGAGAAGGAAAAAAGGGAAAGGGAAGATAAAAGGAAAGAAAGAAGAATAAGAAGAGAAGAGGGAAAGGTAGGGGGCGAAGGACTCTTGCCCCCCCCCCCCCGCCAAAAACAAATAAGAGAGAGAGAAGGGAGAGGGAAAGAAAATATAAGAGGAAAGAAAGAAGAGGAATAAGAAGGAAAGAGGGAAACGGGCGAAGGGCGAAGGGCTCTGCCCCCCCCCCCCCCCCGCCAACAAAATAAATAAGAGAGAGAGAGAGAGTGAAGGGAAAGGGAAAGAAAATATAAAAGGAAAGAAAGAAGAGGAAAAAGAATAAGAAAAGAGGGAAACAGGGGCGAAGGGCTCTTGCCTCCTCCCTCCCTCCCCCCCCCCGCCAAAAAATAAATAAGAGAGAGAGAGAATCTGTTCTGATCCTGATCCTCAAGAGGGATATAAAGATGACCAATAAGAACGTTATCGTTCGAGAGAGAGAGAGTGTTGCTTCTAGAACATTTTAGAATTAAGTCCCATCACATTGCAGTTGTGGGGAGGGACTATGATTATATTACCCCCTTGGATGGCTTCCCAGAGTCTGGCTTTGAAGGTTTCGACTGCGTCGCAGGCAAAGATGCTGGGGGGGGGGGGGGGGGGGAGTAAATTCCAGGCCCGTATGGTTCTTGGAAAGAAGGTGAGTCGATATATATCCGTCTTGCATCTTATGTTGGAGAAGGAGAGGGAAAGAGAAGATAAAAGGAAAGAAAGAAGAGGAAGAGGAAGAAGAATTTGTGTTCTGCCAGTGTCACAAATAGATATATAAATATGCTCATCTGACGATAATTTGATGTATAAAACCCCTCACCTTCTTGGGGCTCCGCCCCTTGGATCCAACACCAATTTGTGTCCTTCCAGTGTCACAAATAGATATAAAAATATGCTCATCTGACCGTTATTTATTGCCCAAAACCCTTGAGCTTCCGGGTGCTCCACCCCCTGGACCCCACGCCAATCCGTGACCCCTGTGTCACAAATAAGGTATAAAATAATAATTATTTGATGGACAAAACTCCTGAGCTTCTGGGGGCTCCGCCCCCTGGACCCAACACCAAATTGCGTCCTGCCACTGTCACAAATAAGGTATAAAATTATGCTCATCCGACGTTAATTTTGATGTTTAATACCCCTGAGCTTCTGAGGGCTCCGCCCTGTGAAAAAAACGTGTAAAAAAAAAAACACGTTAATTTTTACCGTTTTTGGGAGATACCCCCCCCCCCCCCTGGCGTTCAAGGGGGGGGGGGGGAGGGGTACGATTTTTCAAATTTTTGAGGGCCCCAAAAAAGATTAGTGCTCTCTAGTAATTTCGCGACTACTCCGGAACCGCGGCAGATATAAAGTTTTTCTTTCATGACTTTTTTCTTTCGAGTCTTCCGCATCTTTTGAAACATTTTTTTGTTGAAAATCGGACGTATAATTGCGGAGTCACGTGACCTTTTGTTTTTGCATGTCAGCCATAAAATCGCTCATTTTTGTGATTTATGTACCAAACATATGGAAATACCATTTATTCTTTTAAAAAAAGAGAAAACATTGGTTATTTGGTCTTGTTTCAAGTAAATGTGTTTGATTTTGGGTAAAAATAGTTGAATTGTGGTTAGAAATGAAATGAAATAACAAAATAATATAATACATAAATACAAATTATCAAAACAAGAGATAACATAGGGATAAACTGGCTCTTCCAACTTTGTTGTCGTATTATTATTCTAACGAATATATGAAGTGAAAAAGAACGCTCGAATATGAATTATATATGATTTATGGGTAAAAATGTGAATTCTCTGACCTTGTTTGCATAAATTACCATAAATATGCATTTTCGCGGCGATCGGCTGTGAAACGGCCGAGATCTTAGGGGGACCCCCCCCCCCCCACCCTCAAGTCCACTCCAATCACATTGAAAAAAGTATGACTTAAATCATCTCTCTCATCATTATACCGCTATAGTATTCATGTTTTTAATATTATTTATTGTCCATTAAACAAGTTCATACAGAAAATACTTTCTGCAACATCTCTCTGCAACATTAAAAAAGAATCTTCATTAATATGTCTTAATTTGTATTGATAGCCTTGTGGTCGCCAACAGTGGCGAAGGCAGGGGCGTCTCCAAAGGGGGTGTGGGGTGCGACACACCCCCCCCCCCCCACCTGTCAGGATATTGTCGGTAAAATTGCGCTGCCGTCGGGAAAAAAGAGAAAAGGGGGAGGGGAAAAAAGAGAGTAAAAGGGAAAGAAAAGAAAAAAAGAAAAAGAAAAGAAAAAAAGAAAAGAAAGGAAAGAAAAGAGAAGAAAGAAAAGAAAGAAAGAGAAAAACGAAAAAGAGGGAGAATAGGAAAGAAAGGAGGCAAGAGCCCTTCGCCCCCGTTTCCCTCTTTTCTTCTTATTCTTTTCTTTCTTTCCTTTTATCTTCTCTTTCCCTTTCCTTCTCTCTCTCTCTCTCTCTTAATTATTTTTTGGCGGGGGGGGGGGGGGGGAGGGAGGAGGCAAGAGCCCTTCGCCCCCGTTTCCTACTTTTCTTCTTCTTTTTCTTCTTCTTTCTTTCCTTTTAGATTTTATTTCCCTCTCCCTTCTCTCTCCCTCTCTTATTTTTTTTTTTTGCGGGAGGGGGGGGGGGGGGTAAGAGCTTTTCGCCCTTCCCCCGTTTCCCTCTTTCCTTCTTCTTCTTCTTTTTTTCCTTTTATATTCCTTTCCTCTTTCCCTTTCCCTTTCCCTTCTCTCTCTCTCTCTCTCTCTCTCTCTCTTTTTAAATTTTTTTTTGGCGGGGGGGGGGGGGCAAGAGCCCTTCGCCCCCGTTTCCCTCTTTTTCCTTTCCTTTATCTTCTCTTTCCCTTTCCCTTTCCCTTCTCTTCTCTCTCTTCTTATTTATTTTTTGCCGGGGGGGGGGGGGGGGGAGGAGGCAACAGCCCTTCGCCCCCGTTTCCCTTTTCTTCTCTTTTCTTTTCTTCTTTTCTTTCTTTCTTTTCTCTTCTCTTTCCCTTCTTCTCTCTCTCTTATTTATTTTTTTGGGGGGGGGGGGGGGGGGGAAGGAGGGCTAGGAGGCAAGAGCCCTTCGCCCCCGTTTCCTTCTTTTTCCTCTTCTTTCTTTCCTTTTATCTTCTCTTTCCCTTTCCCTTTCCCTTCTCTCTCTTACTTATCTTTTGGCGGGGGGGGGGGGGGGAGGAGGAGGAGGCAAGAGCCCCTCTTTTCTTCTTATTCTTCTTCCTTTCCTTTTTATTCTCTTTCCCTTTCCTTTTCCCTTCTCTCTTTCTCTCTTATTTATTTTTTGGCGGGGGGGGGGGGGGGAGGCAAGAGCCTTTCGCCCCCGTTTCCCTCTTTTCTTCTTCTTCTTCCTCTTCTTTCTTTCCTTTATCTTTTCTTTCCCTTTCCCTTCTCTCTCTCTCTCTCTTATTTATTTTGTTGGCAAGAGCCCTTCGCCCCCTTTCCCTCTTTTCTTATTCTTTTTCCTCTTCTTTCTTTCCTTTTAGATTTTCTTTCCCTCTCCCTTCTCTCTCTCTCTCTCTCTCTCTCTCTCTCTTATTTATTTTTTTGGCGGGAGGGGGGGGGGGTGGGAGGTAAGAATCTTTCACCCTTCCCCCTATCCATCTTTCCTTCTTCTTCTTCTTTCTTTCCTTTTATATTTTCTTTCCCTTTCCCTTCTCTCTCTCTCTCTTATTTATTTGTTGGCAGGGGGAGGCAAGAGCCCTTCGCCCCCTTTCCCTCTTTTCTTATTCTTTTTCCTCTTCTTTCTTTCCTTTTAGATTTTCTTTCCCTCTCCCTTCTCTCTCTCTCTGTTATTTATTTTTTTGGCGGGAGGGGGTGGGGGGGGGAAGGTAAGAACCTTTCGCCCTTCCTCCGTATCCATCTTTCCTTCTTCTTCTTCTTCTTTCCTTTTATATTTTCTTTCCCTTTCCCTTCTCTCTCTCTCTCTCTCTCTCTCTCTCTCTCCTATTTATTTGTTGGCGGGGGTGGGGGGGGGGGGGGAGGTAAGAACCTTTCGCCCTTCCTCCGTATCCATCTTTCCTTCTTCTTCTTTCTTTCCTTTTATACTTTCTTTCCCTTTCCCTTCTCTCTCTCTCTCTCTCTCTCCTATTTATTTGTTGGCGGGGGGGGGGGGGGGGGAGGCAAGAGCCCTTCGCCCCCGTTTCCCTCTTTTCTTTTTATTCTTCTTCCTCTTCTTTCTTTCCTTTTATATTCTCTTTCCATTTCCATTTCCCTTTCCCTTCTCTCTCTCTCTCTCTCTCTCCCTTTCGCCCTTCCCCAGTTTCCCTCTTTCCTTCTTCTTCTTCTTTCTTTCCTTTTATAGTTTCTTTCCCTTTCCCTTTCCCTTCTCTCTATCTCTGATTTATTTTTTGGCGGGGGGGGGGGGGCAAGAGTCCTTCGCCCCCCCCCCCCCCCCCGTTTCCCTCTTCTCTTCTTATTCTTCTTTCTTTCCTTTTATCTTCCCTTTCCCTTTTTTCCTTCTCTCTGTCTCCCCCATCAAAGAGACCACTCTGTAATCAAGACCATTCCATTTTATTTAATACATTTTCGATATAGTCTAGAACTACTTAAATTGGCAACTATTACCTTCTGTCCGAGATCCTCATTTTAAACGACTGATGCGAAAGACTAGTCGACGCACCCTTTCGAGAAAAGCCCCCCCGCTTTCATCGAAAGGGTGTGTTAAAACGGTACTCCGCTCTCAACGCACCCTTTCGAGAAAAGGCCCCCCTCTTTTATCGAATGGGTGCGTTGAGCACACCACACCGCGCCGCACCGCACCGCACCCGTTCGATGAAAGCCACTCCGGCCTACTGTAGTGTCGGTATGCACTTAATTGTATTGTTCATTATTTGGCTGTGAAACCTGTGAGAAAGTGTAAACTGTCAGTGTCACTGTACAAACTAATGTCTATGTTTTTAGGGAAAATACTCCAAAAAGAGAAGAAAATTGACACAAAACGGACTAAGAAAGATAAAGAATTTCAAATCATGACCGTTATTTGAACAATTGTCATGATGGTGGAAGATTTAGATGATTTTTGGTGTGTTATATAGTTAGGTATCTCCACGCCGGAGTCACGGTTCCAAAGTATGGTCACAGTTGTGAATAAGCACCGACGATTGGCTCTACACAAATCTGGGTGTATGCCTGTATATGGCAGGGTCCGTTCAACAACACCCAGTACTACTTCTGCCAGTAGCACTGTAGCAGTATATGATGTGGGAATTAGGGGTTGGGGGGGGGGGTGGGTCGAGGTCAGCTTGTATTTTAAGTTTTAGCCTTGTCGGGTGATAATATGAAATATGATATTGAAACCCCTGCATGAAGAGGGATGTTAACAAATCCTAAAATGAGTTGGTACTAATCACCTCCTTCCTGCACCCAATGAACCTTGGACACATGGCTTTGCAGTTTTGCTAATACACCTTACAAATTACACCTTAAAATCAATTTAGAATTTAACTCAAAATGTGAAAATTTGGTACCGTAGTGATAGCAAATTTCCTGACATGAGCTAACTTTAGAGTAGGCGATAATAGCGATTATATAAATAAATTATTAATTTTGCATCGTAAAAAAACATTAATTAAACAAGTAAATAATAAGTGAATAAACAAGTGAATAAATGAATGAATACATGAATTATCAATTAACAATTCAAAAAACTAATTAAATTAATAAGAAAATGAAATGGTGGTTGTTTGATACATGTACATATGTATGTGCAGACCCTTTTATTTTCTAAAATATTTACTATTGACTCAGCATGAGAAAAGTTACACCAACTTTTACACAGAAGATTGGCTAACAGGTGGAAGTAGGTCTTACGTTAGATCTTTTTGTCTTTTTTATTTCTCTTCACTTTTAGACGGATGGCTTGAGTGTGCAGGTTGCTGGTACTGTACCCCCTGTCGGCTTCTCTGGTCAACAACAGGCACCTCGTCCGCCCAATCATGGCCAGTACCAAACTCCAGTTCCGGTAGGCGGGGCAGCAGGAGTCTACCACCAGCAACCCGGGGTTCCAGTCCAGGGGAAGGCCGAGATGATGCCCATGCCCACAGGGATACCTGGCTGCCCTCCTGGACTGGAATACCTTGCCCATCTGGACCAACTTCTCGTACATCAACAGATAGAGCTCGCTGAAAGTAAATAGTAGGACCGCTGGGGACAGTTCTTTTCTTTTTTAGAAGGACATTAGGCCAAATAACTAAAATGAAGTGTTTCTTGTCCATGACTGCCTCTTTTTGGGCCGCTGCCTCCTTTTTTAAAACTATTCACTTTTTATTAAAAAAAAGCCCCCCCCCCCCCCCCCCCCCCTCCAAAAAAGCATGTAATATAAATTTGTTTAAAAAGCTTCTAAAGTGATACAAATCATTTGTTTTGTCATACATTGCATCATCAGTAAACTTACAGTGCAAAATATCTATGAATAAATAGGCAGCCATCTTGAAGAAGAAAAAAGCAAAATAGTAATGCCCTGCCTCCTCCTTTTTTGTAAAAGTCTGGACGTGAAACACATTATTTTGTTATTTGGCCTTAGATGTGTAGGATATTTTCCCTTCATGGGCAGAAGAGTTTTTTCTGATTTTGTTATTATCCTTTTAAAGTTTTTTGGTGTCACCTGTTTGAACCACCGTGACCCTCACGTCTCTCCACCTGAATATAAGTTATTGGGGTTGTGCAGGTGGACCATCACACCAGGGGTTTTGCAGCTACTCTCATATGAATAGTCAACAGTGCAGTAGGTTCTTAATATAAAAAAGTGGTGCCTTGCCTCTACATGGGGCCTGGGCCTCCATTTAACATCCTATCTATTAAAGGGAAGGAGTGTTTTTCACTGTAACACATCCTGCATCTACAAAACAGCTTTGGCGGACCAATGGAATAAAAGGGACTGCCTCAGTCAATATTTGTCACACATGCAGTGTACATGTACCGGTACATACATGTATGTAATATACTCAAACAATCTGGCAATTGAGCATTTCAATCCATGATGGATAAAGAATTAATTTGTTTAATAATAAGATCACACAAATCAAAACGATACTAAAGAGAAAATATACGTATGTTTATGGAATATGTACCTACAAAACGGTCAAAATTACTGCGCATCTACTTGTGCACTGTGTAGCTGATTGTTGTAGATTACGAACAAATAATTGATGCATCATTTTTTTTAAATTAATAATTTGAAGAACATTAAAATTGTCATCAGCTACTAAAATAGTAGCATTTAATTGACTGAGAGCAAATTTGTCATAGTAGTTTAGCATTTGTTGATGATACCAAGTTTTATGAAACAAGGCCCAGATTAAAGGAGGACGGGGCATTGGCTGATGGGCTGTTTACTATTAAGTCACATGGCTAGGAGAACAAAAAAATATTAATATAAAATACAGTCAAACCTGCTTTAGTGACCACCTGTCTACAAAGACCACATTTTTTGTTTCTCTTGAAAATGGTTTCTCATTGAAAAATGTACTTAAAGGAAACTGTCTACAAAGACAACATGTCTACTAAGACCACTTCTTGTGTTTCCCTTGGATGGTCGCTATAGACAGGTTTGACTGTATTAGCAAAAATTGTAAAGGTACAACTTGAGCCTGACAATTGTTTAACCTTTCCCTTTCCTATGCCATTACAGTCTTTCTCAATGTGGAATTCGAGAACAAGTACGTCGTAAAGAACAGCCTTGGTCAGCAAGTTTATTTCGCCAGTGAAGGTATGTGTATGTCATTAATAAGTCTTAACAACACAAGCATTGTAGCCTTTAAAAGGGAAGTCCATCATGATATTAAGTTGGTTTTAATAAGAGCAGAAAACTGAGAGATACAAATTAGTGAAAGCTTGTGCAAAAAAGCAACCCAAAATAAGAAAGTTATGCAGTTTTAAAGGTGCTATCAATCTAACTCAAATTGACAACTCTGTGATGTACCTTTGTTTTGGTCTGTACAGAAAACTTCATGAACTTTCAATTTCGTAGTTATTAATGAGGGAATAGATGGTTGCTGTTTGAAGGGGGGGGGGGAGAGAAAAAAAAAATCAGACCAAATGACCCAGGTTCTGGCACCTAAAGGGCAATACAACATCTTTTTTTTAGGCCTAGAGTTTGGTTCAGGGTCGAAGTTTTGAAACCGTTTAGGACCTGGCCAAAGAGCAATCACCATCACCAACACAGCACAAGCTTGTATTGATTTCCACTCAATTTCGTACTATAGAATCCGAGTGTTGCGAGCGGGTCTGGTGCGGTCATCAGAGGGGGTTCTTATTCCACATCACAGACAACATGGGACAGGTAATAATTGAAAAATGATTTTGTTATCAACTATCGTTCATGTATTTATAAGTGTAAGAATGCGTGTTAAAAATGCCTTGTATTTTTACTCAGTTTTCCAAAACGTTTTGTTAATTACCTGTCATGAATTGCACTTTTGGTTGCAAGACACATATTCATTTGACAATCATTACATCAAACTGAATTCCTACCTGTAAATTTTGATCCAACAACAGCAATTGCGAACATAACCCTAGTCCAGAATCTGGTTGATTTAATTGTGATCTCCACCACACCAAAGCAATATGCGACCACCCCCTACTTACTTGCCGCCAACCGAAGATGGCGTGATCCTTAAAATTAAGATACCCGGCAAAAGCTGGTGTCCGTATAAGTTCGTTGATAACGCCATCTTTGGCTGTATGAATCAATTGTATGGAATATAAAGAACCGGCCAGATTTTGGACTACCATCATAACCCCAGCCTAATAACTTGCAAACATATAGCCCATATCAATCGTAACTGCCGTAAATTTTAGATTACTGTATTCATTATGAACTGTCTGCACCTTAGTGGTGCATGATTAAGTCTGCATATACTTTTCGTGGATCTTATGTTTCATCTGTTTTGGGTAAATGTATATACTTTGTTGTAGGAGGTGCTGCGGGTTACCCGTCAATTCAAGTGTTGTGCAGGATGCAGTTGGTGTGCAGACAACGACCACTGCTCTTTGTTCGTAGCCGTTGAAAGTCCTCCTGGCACTGTGATTGGTTACGTCAAACAAACGTAAGATTTGAAAGAGAAAAAAAAATACCATGAACAATATGTCTTGATCAGGGCACAGTATCATCAGTAATTACTGCTGTTCTTCTTAAAGGTTGTGCAATAATACAGTGATATTATAGTCAAACCTGCTTTGGTGACCACCTGTATAGAAAGACCACCTCTCTATGAAGACGGCATTCCCCCGTCCCCCCTCCCCCTGGAATGTGTTTTCTGTAGAAAGATGAGATAAAGGAACGTGCACATGAAAAACGCCTGTTAATAAAGACCGCTTTTGGTGTCTCCTTTGAGTGGTCTATATAATAGGTTTCGCTATTACCCTGGCTTTAGCATGGCTTTAGCATGGTAATTCACCCAAACATTCAAGGAATTCTTCTTACCAGGTACCCATTTACTATTTATTTTGGTAGAGAATGGCAGATAGAAAAAGAGCATATATTTTACATTTCGATACTCCATCATTTGCTCTGGCAACAGGTATACCAGGCAAAGATACCGGCTTAGGGTTAGGTTAGGGTTGCAATTTGGGTTAAGGCTACCTTAAGGATCAGGATAAGGGTTAGGTATAGTACTTGGTCCAGGGATATGGATTTTGGAATTCATTTTAAGTGTAGGAGCTGGACTCCATTGTACATGTCTTGTAGTAAAGAAGTCTTTGGTTTGACACCAAGTATCATATTCACTTCGATCTACATCAGACCCCTGTTATAAGCTACTGAAATAGTGGTATTTCATGGGCTGAGAGCAGATTTATCGTAGAAATTATGCATTTATTATCGATAACAAGTTTAATGAAAAAGGGCTCGGGGCCCTATTGCATAAAACCTAATTTTGCTGAATGTTCATGTTCCCAAGGCAATCAGTCCAACAGATTTGAATGGCTAAACAAAATAAATTCACCCTTTTGGCACTTTCCTTCATTTGTAGGCAGAGCTGGGTGAGCCCACGCTTCGATGTCCTCACAGCTGACCAGGAGTGCGCGCTGAAGATCCAAGGTCACTGGTGTCATTGTCAAACTGTTTGCTGTACTGAGGATATCGAATTCAAGGTTTGCTGATCTTTGTTTACAGGCTTAAAATTCTTGTCACGAAACTGCAACACGGCCATGATGCGGCATTGGTTGCCTTGTGGTTAATTTCATAAATACTAACCAGATTCCTGAATTCAAACATGAACCAAACCCTATACCCAACCCTTACCCTTGTCCTAACCCTAAGCATTAACTAAAACCTTTATGCAAGCTGTCCGTCTTGCAAATAAAAAAAGAACAAGATCAAATCTGTATCTAAAAAAATTGAGGCAAACACATGTACATTTTAGATATAAACCCTGTATGTATCCTGCAGGAACTCGCTAAAGGATATAGCGGAGTTTAAGGAGGAGGAACCTTGTGGGTTTTTTTCCTCCCCCAAATGGTGGTGGTGAGGGAGGGGGAGATGGGAGGTCCTCCCCCGAAGTGTTCTAATCACACTTGATAGCTCTGAGCATACCTGAATGTGGACCATACATTTCAGCAAGAAAAAAAAAAATACAGAACCCTGATTTTGATTGGCTGTTGTGCCATGTTTCCATGATAGTTGCCATTGATAGCAAAGTTACCATCAATGGTAAGTTTTATGCAACGGGCCGTGGTCAGAATACTCCATAGGCAGCAGAGCCTGTGCATTATAAATGTAGGAAATAGCAATTGAATCCAGTGACTGGGGTAATACTTATTAAAAAATAGCTTGCAACGTAGTATTAAGCGGTGTGCGAATGTGACTACATGTATATTATTATTGTTATCTCAGATTTGGATGTGGTCTGTAGATGTATTGATTTCTCAATGAAGATCTTGACTAATTGGATGTGTATTCTTTGTTATTGCAGATATTCACGAATGATCTTCAGACTGAAGTAGGAAAGGTTTCCAAGCAGTGGGGCGGATGGGTGAGGGAGTCTTTCACCAAGGCAGACAACTTTGGTGTCCAGTGTAAGTCTTAAATGGTTATCCCACGCCCCATTTCAAACACCACATTACAACAAAAAAAAGGTGTTGCAGATAACTTTGGTGTCCAGTTTAAGTCTCAAATGGTTTTCCCATGCCCCTTTTCAAACCCCACACCATGAAAAAAAGAGGTGTTGAATTGAGGTTTTAAATTTTGTGTGCTGTAGTGTACTGTCATCACTCATGTGTGCTTCATTTCATATTTGCCATTTTGACCTGATGTAGAAAGGATGCAATGCCTTGTGAAAAAAGTGGATTTTTTTTTCCCCTTTTTTTTGTTTTGTTTACTGCTAAGCATTACAAATGATGCATTAAGTCATTCTAATGTCAAAAATCTTATTAACAATAAAACCTTGATCAGACAAGAAGTAGTAATTATGAGAAGTGCTGTATGTTTTACAATTTAGCATCTTGTATTAAACACAGAGCTCAGTGAATACGCTTGCGATGTTTGTTGCTCGTAGTTGCCATTAAACGTAAACCAAAATCTGCTGTTGTTTACTGCTTCATATCAATAGGGGATTTGATTTTCAAAATATAGATCCGACCCCAAAATAAAATCCTGTTCTCCTGGCTGTTGGAATGAGTAGGATTCTATTTGACATCGTATGATGATGCCAATTGTTAAGCTGAAAGAATATTGGAGTGTTGGGCCCCGTCTTACAAAGAGTTGATATAAATCGCAACTATGTACATAAGATATAGGAGACTGCAAACTTGTGATTGATTGGAGGACTTGCGATTGATTTGGATCAATAATAACTCTTTGTAAGACGGGGCCCTGGTCATGCAATTGTATTGTAAAAGAAACTGTATGGAAAAGATTGATCATGTGGCACATACGTATATCAGTTGATGTATACCTTGAGGTTTTGGAATCATCAAAATGATCAGAAATTGGCCCAGCCTTGCTACAGTTCACATACACTGCACACATACGTATGTATATGGCACTAAACCAACATGTGGCATGATAGTTGTGATCCACAAACTTTAGGCGTTACTTGTCATATTTAGAATATGAGGGCATTTGATGAGCCATCCTTTTCAGGTGACATTTTGTGATAATAATAATAATAATACTCAGTTTTTATATAGCGCTTATTAGAATCACTAAGCGCTTCACTAGCTGTGCTGCCATTGCGGCGTACTAGCATTTTAAAGAATTAATTCCTGCCAGGTACCCATTTACATCACCTGGGTTGAGTGTGGCAAATGTAGACCAATGTCTTGCCAAAGGACATTAGTCCGGTGACTTAACCACTCGACCACGGCAACTCGGTAGTCTATGATACTCTTCCCCACTAACATTTAACCCTATGTTAACTGGGGGGGGGGGGGGGGGGTCAATTTGACCCCCCCCCCCCCTGTAGAAATTTCGCGACTTCTCCGAAACCGCGGCAGATATAAAATTTTTCTTTCATGACTTTTTACTTTCGAGTCTTACGCATCTTTTAAAATAATAAAACAATAAAATACATAAGTTAAAAAAACAATGAAATACATAAGAAATTATAAAAACAAGAGATAACATAAGGAATAACCTGGCTCTTCCAATTTTTAGTGTTGTATTATTATTCCAAATGGTCTTATGAATATATGTGTTGAAAAAGAATAGGTAAACATGAATAATCTATGATTTATGGGCAGAAGTGTGAATTTGATGACCTTATTTGCATAAATTACCATAAATATGCAAATGAGTGAATTTTTCAAAAATTTGAAATTACCGTAGTATTCTATACACTTCACTTGACATGCATGCAAATTTTCGCGGCGATCGGCGTTGAAACGGCCGAGATCTTAGGGGGGGGGGGGGTCAAATTGACCCCCCCCCCCCCCCCCCCCCAGTAAAAACCTGGTCTGAAATAGCCCAGTTAAAATAGGGTTAAAACAAAAGAGAAAACTCACAAATATTTTTTTGTCACCCTTCCAAGCTACTCAACCTTCACTTTAAATGTAAAGAATAAAAATCCTTCTATTATTTAAACATATTTGTGGCTTACACCCACTAAATAAGATTGAATGATCGATCTGAAATTTCTCCCAGGAAGCATTACATTTATAAAAAATCCTTCTGTTTCTAATTTCTTATTCCAGTTCCACAAGATATGGATGTGAAAGTGAAGGCGACACTTCTTGCAAGCACTTTCCTGATAGTAAGTAATCATTTGTAGGATTCTTGGAGCCTTGGTATTATGTAGCACAGTGACATTGTGTGGCACATACAGAGTTAGTTTGCAATATTATATGTATTTTGCACACTGGGAAAAGGTCAATGAAATATAGTAATTGTAGTACAATTATAGGAAAATCAAGCATTTCTATATTTTAAGAATGTCTCTCACCAATTTTACTTGTATGGCGTTCATTTTCTCTAAATTTAGATTTAATTCAATTTCACACACAGCAAAAAACAGTACTCAAGCTTAAGCTCTTGGAATTTTCTCTCACCAAACGATATCTTCCCTAATACATGCACATGTATTGACTCTTATCAATTTAAAGGGATAGTTGAGTTCTGTTTTCATACCGCAAATGCCTTCAAAGTGCATGGTTATTGCTCTCATTCTTATCTATGACATTTCTAGTGCCCTTTTAGAACCTAAAATTGCTACGAAGGTCATTTTAGACCCCAAAATATGTGAAATTTAGCCATTATGATCATACCAATTCAGCTCATATTTGAAAAAAAATATGGTGACCGTTAATTAATTATTTAATTAAAAATAACAATACATGGGCCGGCTGGTTGTGCGTAATAAAACCAACACGAAAATGCCAACAAAAAGCCAACATCGGCATTGGATGAAATACGATGTAAAAGGCATTATATACCTCACTTAAGAAATCCAGCCATCTGATTGGTCGAATTGCATTCATAAACTTCAACTGTTCCTGTAAAATTCTCGGTAACCATGCTTAAAACATTTCAATATTTGTAATAACCATGGTTATTAAAAATAGTTGGTCAGCCTCCATGGTTACCCCATAGGTTTACATGTTAAAAAATGGTTTGAGCGATGGAGGATGCCGTATGTGTGCGAAGGATTGGTCGGTAATTTCAATACAATTGAATCTCGATCGATCTTACCGACAATTTTATCTTGCATTGTTGACATGAAGACGAAAATAAACTTCCAAAAACAAAAAAAACAACATCTGCCGATAGATCTTGATCTAAGTTCGTGCCAATATGCATTGCAAAAGTAAAAGAAGAGTCCGTATATGGAGCTTTTGCGAAGCATTCATCACACGCGAAGCCGGTTTCAATCCATTTTAATGTATATATTGGAGAAAACTGACAAGAATGTTAACGGCGGGCCATAGCCGAGTGGTCTAAGCGTTGGTTTTCGGTACACCTCTTGTTGTACGCAAGAGTTCGAATCCCGTCTTCGACAAAAATGATAAATATTTTTAATTTTTCATTTTTTAGTCTATTTTTTTTCGGCATATAAAAGTATTAATGACTGCTTTAATATTCGAGAAATAGTTGTTTTCATACGCTCTCGGGAAGGTTACAATTGGGCTATTCCCCTCGGCAAGCCTCGGGGAATAGCACAATTCTAACCTTCCCTTGAGCGTAATAAAACAACTATTTCTCTCAAAGCAGTCATTAATACTATACTATTTCCTTTTTTCAACGGCTTTATAATATTTGTGGTGGTACACAAGTATTAGAAATTATTATATTTATGGATATTTCAGCCATCTCTGAACCGATTTTGATCAAACAAAGATGATTTTGTAATTTAAATTGTATGTTCTTTCAAATTTGACACTCAGTTTTCCATTACCTCACAAAAAATTATTTTGTGTAGCGCCCTCTGCAACAGAACTCAACTATCCCTTTATAACTAAGTTATGCTTTTTTTTGTCTCTCTGTATTTATTTTTATTTTCAGGATTTCATGTATTTCAAACACAGGAAGAAGAACAAGAATGATTCTCCCCCATTTTACTTGTATGGCGTTGATTTTCCCTAAATTTAGATTTAATTCAATTTCACACACAGCAATAAAACAGTACTCAAGCTTAAGCTCTTGGAATTTTCTTTCACCAAACAACATCTTCCCTACTACATGTGCATGCATTTACTCTTATCAATTTAACTAAGTTATGTTTTTTTTCTCTCTCTGTATTTATTTTCACTTTCAGGATTTCATGTATTTCGAACACAGGAAGAAGAACAAGCAGTATTAAGGACCCATCGATATGAGATACAGCGCACCCTGGATAAACGTCATGATGTATCTTGCAGAGCTGCCAACCATTCCGTTTTTGCCGGAATTACTCCGTTTTTTCCTCCAAATTACGGTACTACGTTTTTTCTTCATAAAATACTTTTTTTTTTTTTTTTTACATACCACACGTCAAACAACTGCCCTAAACTGGTGATTTGATCACAAATTCAATAGAAAACTAATTTTTAAACATACTTGAAAAAATACTTGAAGAGAAAAATATCCTCAAATAGAATGAAATGTCGATAATACCAAAATAACCAAAACAAAAAAACAGCATGAGGAATTAACATATCTGCATTGGAAGTGTGTCGCGCGTGGTTGTAAGTTTCATTTTTATGGATTCCTTTTTTTGTTTGAAATTCCTTTTTCTTGCCGTCATGATTCCTTTTTTTGGTGGCACAAGGTTGGCAGCTCTGATCTTGGGTATACAGATTAGATACATGTTGCAGATCATGGAATTCTTTTTACATAGTCCTGGGTTAGTCTTCAATTTCAGTATTTATGGCAGAAACATGAGCATTCTACTCAAGTTTGGCCTAGACAAGATACTCTGCCAAATTCGATATTCAGGTGAAACATTTGGCTAAAACCAGCCCTTAGTTGAAGACAGCTCCCGTCTTCAGCCAATCAGTTTGTAGGCCTTTATCAGCGGGAATGTGGTTTCAATACACTTTGCACCATTATACCACTGTGCATTTAATGTGACATGTAAATTGCCAGTGATTTTTGATTGACTTTTTGATATCATAACAGATTTGTGTAAATATTTTGGCATGAAGTTGGCATAGTGAATTAAAATACATAGATGCAATCTGAAAAAAGAGTGGAGCTGTTTTACTTAGCTGAGCTGAAGTATTGAATTGAATATGGGCCATGTTTATTTATGTTAAAGTACTCTTGATTTATTGATGAACATGTGACTGTGGTGAGTAGTTACTTTCTTTAGATCGCTGAGTGTTGTGTTTTGGATTGATTGAGTGATAAAAATGTCACTTTGATGACTGGTTACTTTCATTAGTTTGCTTAGTTTTGTGTATAGTTTATGAATATGAACGTGTCAAATAATTTGCTAAGTTAAGGTCCGGTCCAACCTACATGTAACTGATAGCTGTATATGAAGGGGTTTACCCCTCCCTCCTCCCAATTTGTTTTTAAAAATTGATAAATTAATGATCAAATGAATACAAACTGAAAACATACCTATAAGTTGTTGCAAAATATTTCCATTATACTCTTTGTTTCATCTTTCAAACTTTGTTCTCTTTTGACTTTGAAAGAATTCCATTACCCTAGAGTACTGTGTATTTATTGTGCACCAACTCAACAGGTTAATTTGTAAAGCTCGCTAATCCGGCTAGAACAAACAGCATTAGATAAGTTACTTGGAGTTACAGGAGCACATGTGGAAAGCAAACACCCTATCTGGAATCAATTGCACTCTTAAGGTGTAAACTTAATGCCTTTAAATTCTATACAACACCCACACAAATTTCCAACTTACAATGAAAGAAGAGCATCATAAAGAAATCAACTCATTGGTGATTCTTGATCGGTTTATGAAATTGGTGCCAGGTAAAAATGTCGGAGGTAAAAATGTCGGAGGTAAAAATGTCAGATGTTAAAAATGTCTGACATTTTTACCTCTGACATTTTTACTTCTGACATTATTACCTCTAACATTTTTACCTCTGAAATTTTTACACCACGCCATCACATTTGTCACAGCAATGTTTACTTATTTCAAAACATGATGCTCAAAGTTATTCACTTGTCAAATTGTCCATGTAATTGTGAAATAAGTGATAGGTTAATGACTTATGAAGTTTTGTTTTCTGTTTGTTTTGTCAGTTTTCACAATGTGAAATAATGTGTGGTTTGTTATTTGCTGTAAATGCTTGTAAAGAAGAAAAAGTCTTTAATGAAATTAATATATATGTTATGGCAAATTCTTACACACATAAAAAGAGGCTTAACAATCATGTGTATTGTCTTTAAAGTTTGATCTTACATTTATATGTATACCTATCAAGTCATGTATATTATTAGGTTGTATTTCATTAGGCCTAACCAAAAAGTGATGTTGTATTGCCCTTTAGGTGCCAGCACTTTTTTTTTTTTTTTTCCTTCTTTTTTTTTTTTTTTTTTTTTTTTGGGGGGGGGGGGGGGGGGGGGTTGTTGTTGCTTTTTTCCCTTTTGGGGCTGATATTTTTCAGTTTTGAATGCTTGAAAGCTTATCTGTACTAGTTCATAGGAGGGATTAGACCACACTGCAAGGTCACCGGACGGGTAAATATCTCTTCAACTCGGCTCTGAATTAACATAAGAAAAAGGGGATCATGGAGGACCTATATAGAGGGATTAAGTAGCTATAACTAGGACAGTGTGGCTTTAATACATATTTTTTTTATTCATTAAACTCTTTTTTTGTTTCAACGGTAAACAAAATAAATAAATTAAAAGCCGACCGTAGATTTTCAGATTTATGGATCGGTCACAAAGGGCAATACAACATATTTTGTTCTAGGCCTTATATAATCATGTGTATTGCAATTTTTTGTTTATTTCTATTCTGTTCCATATTTTTTTCTCGCACTTCTTTGTATTTTACCTTGCATCTCAAATTAACATTTCCTTTCAATTTGGATTTCATTTCTTGTTTTTAATGGTCGACGAGTACTTGTTTTTTATAACTGACCATTCATTTAGTCCTACTCTTTTAAGAGAGAGATGGAGGGGAAAGAGAGAACAATGATTATATATATATGTATATATATATATATATATATATATATATATATATATATGTATATGTGTGTATAAAGTTACATTATAATCTACTCATATTGTAATTAGCAGCTGAATATTGCCTTGAATCTAAATATAGATGTACTTTACTTAATTTTATACTATTCGAAGGGACTATCGTCTTCTACAATCACGATAGGAGTAAATTAAAAGGATTTTGTTGAACTTGCATCATTGATACATTTAAACCTTGTCTTTGCAATGCTATCTTACAGGTCTTTGCTTATTCAATCATCGCTGTATTGTAGTACCAAAACATGACGTCATTTGTGGGTCGAACCCAGTTGATATTTTGTTGATAATTAATCAGATTGTTTGCGTAGCTGTGACGTCATACTGGTGTATTGTGCAGCCCAACAAAGCTATACCCGCTGCATAACCCGCCTACGAAAATAGCTTCAAGCACATAGGTTATTAACACTGACGTATGGTTGAAAGAACTATTTTTGAAAGGCCATACGATGCGCTATTTCGATTGCGTCACCACCTGCGCCAATCTATCATGTGCAGGAAATTAACCAATAAGCTAATAATTAGTTATCCGATTTTGCTCAAACTTTTTTGATCGGTTTGTCTGATTTTTCTGCTTCTATTGAAATTAAGTTATTTGCGGAGTGGACTTGCCCTTTAAAGCAAAACGTTCCACTGTTGACATTGTAATTTGTACGCATTTAAAATCTACCATTTGGTGACGCAGCCCTACGTCAGGATAATGACGCCTCGTGTGCAAGGTCAAAGGGCATGAAGAGCATGGAGGGGCTTTCCGAATATGGAACCTACAATGCTTGGGACCAAACTTTGCACGTGGATTAGCTTATTTATCTTTTTACGCGTGCATGTATTGGCAGTTTTGTGTTTCTGAAGCCGCGACAAACGTACATAATAAGGGCAAAAATGTGACTCGCAGCATACTTGTAATAAAGTGAATACAACTATTGTGTAATTGATGTGATATGATGAAGTTGAACAATTACTTTTAATAAAATGTTTAAATGGAACTTATGTTCATGATGGTTATAGCATTCTTTTAATTCATTCATTTCTTCTTTTGTCACATTTGAAAAATACAAAATAAACGCGGAAACACACAAAGAAACAGACAAAAACAATACATTTCATGTATACAAGAAATGCATAATATAAAAGCACATAAAAAGCACACATATCTATTACACAGAGCAAGGCAAAATAAACACCACAGACCAACACTATTACCAAAAGACTAAAATGCAGGGGTGAAATCTGAGTTGACATGAATATTCAACTATTTCATTGACAGTTTCTAATAATCTTTTAAAAAGGCGTTTCTTACATGAATAATACCCTGTAATCACTGCAGTTGACTTGTAACACGAAATATTTTATGTTTTACGATTGATCATTGTTTAGAACAACCAACCTATTCACCTAGTTTCCTCGCCTTTATTGTATCTGTGTTTGATTAATGTATAGTACTAATCAAGAAACCGAGCGAAGTCTTCACTTGGACTTCGGACTCATCAAGCCCTGTATTTAGTAGTGACGAATGTGTTTAACTTGAAGGAGGGGCAGGGGCTTGTACTGTGGATACCTATTTCTTTCCTTCCCTCTCTGTCTCTCTCTCTGTCTCTCTCATCCATCTCTCTCTCTATCTCATTCTCTCTCTCTCTCTCTCTCTCTTCTTCTTCTTCTTCTCCTTCTTTTTCTTCTTCTTCTTCTCCTTGTTGTTCTTCTTTTTCTTCCTTTTCTTGTTCTTAAAGGTGTTGTTGTTCTTCTTCTCCTTGTCGTTTTTGTTGTTCTTCTTTCTTCATCTCCTTCTGTCCATACAAAATACTGCCGAAATTGCCCCTTCCGTGATTTTTTTTTTCTTCAGTGATTCGTTAACGTCCGTTTTTTTTAAAATTCTTTCTCCTTCTTTCCTTCTTTCATTTCCTCTTTTTGTTTGGTCTTTTCTTTTTTAAATAGCGTTATCAGAAATCCAACATGGGCGAATATTATGTCGCCAATTTGTGTTTGTTTATCTAAGAGCACGCAAACCGTCTTGCTTTATCGCAATCTACAAGGACCCGCCCCTTAATCCTATTCTTTACTCATTATGCCCTGCACACATCTATGCGTGACTGATATCTCGTAATAAGTAAGGAATGCTTGGGCTCTTCATTAACACTCTCTGGAATTAGATCTTCAGACGTGTAGCAATTTTGCTCAGCATCTTAAAGGGGGAAATAAATATGTCTGAACCCGTCAAAGAAGGAGAGACACCAAATCAGGTATGTTTATGTTATTATTGCATTTTTTCCAAGAAGGAATATTTTAGTCATCAAAGTTATGTTTCAATCGTCCAGTGCCAAAGAAAGGTAGGTTAAACTGCGGAGATGTTATGGTAAAGAGGTTCATTAACTCGACTCTTAATTCAAGGCTTGAAGGTTCCAATCCCACCCCGGCACTATTGTTCTTTGACAAGATATTTATCCACATTAAACTGTGGAGATGTTATGGTGTAGAGCAGGCCTGGTATATATAGAGGTTCATTTACTTGACTCTCAATCCAAGGCTTGAGGGTTCAATCTCAGCCCGGCACTATTGTTCTTTGACAAGATATCTATCCACATTAAACTGTCGAGATGTTATGGTATAGAGCAGGCCTGGTATAGAGGTTCATTTACTGACTCTCAATCCAAGGCTTGAGGGTTCAATCCCAGCCCGGCACTATTGTCCTTTGACAAGCTATTTATCCACATTAAACTGTGGAGATGTTATGATATAGAGGCTCACTCACTTGACTCTCAATTCAAGGGTTGAGGGTTCCAATCCCACCCCGGCACTATTGTTCTTTGACAAGCTATTTATCCACATTAAACTGTGGAGATGTTATGATATAGAGGCTCATTAGCTCGACTCTCAATTCAAGGCTTGAGGGTTCCAATCCAGCCCGGCATTATTGTTCTTTGACAAGATATTTATCCACATTAAACTGTGGAGATGTTATGATATAGAGGCTCATTAGCTCGACTCTCAATTCAAGGCTTGAGGGTTCCAATCCAGCCCGGCATTATTGTTCTTTGACAAGATATTTATCCACATTAAACTGTGGAGATGTTATGATATAGAGGCTCACTCACTTGACTCTCAATTCAAGGCTTGATTGTTCCATTCCAAGCCCGGCACTATTGTCATTTGACAAGATATTTATCCACATAAATTTTGCCACCCTCCACGCAGGTGTAAAATATGGCTACCCGTCATGCCAGAGCGCTTCTTTTTTTTAGCCGCCAGCTATTCAATTTAATTCAATTCAATTTTGGTTTAATAATATCAACATATACAATGTACAATGTAGTAGTATTTTTAAATTATTTTTTAAAAAATTCCATAAATCAGGGGTAAGACAAAAATATTCCAACTATAACTGAGCCTTGAGCCATAATGCATGGCCATCCAGAGGATTTTTGTATGTTGGGGACCGGGGTAAAATGCAATAAATTATTGAAAATTTATTGCATTTTCTGTGTTTTTTTTAATTTAAGGAAACTGCCCCTATAGCCCCCGCTGCGAACAGTCATGGTTCAGTGACAAAGCAATGGCCTCGTAACTGTGAGGCCCCAGCAATTAAAAAGTGTGTCGATGTGCTATATTTATAGAGCCCTTTTGTGGGGCATTAATCCTCATTACTGTCATTTATGACTTAAGGGCGTAGGTCCCCTATTTGATAAGCATAGTAGCATACACAGTCATGCAAAACACACATTGTCAAATTCTTATTCAATAAAATCTCAGAATGTATACTATTATCTAGATCTATTATTTTTAAATTATTTTTAAAATAATTCCATAAATAAATTGGGGTAAAACAAAAATATTCCAACTATATGAGCGACAGTGTATAAGAATCTATTATCAAAATGCAAATTTTCCGTCAGGATTGTGTGTAATTAAATAAATGAATGTAGCAAATAGATAGATTTGAATCAGTGTGCATGAGTTTATATTTTTTATAAACATGATAATATTCATTAATTTAAGCTTATCCTGTTAATCAATATGATGATTATACCTGATGAAGCCATGTTTGTTTGTTGTTTTTTTTTGTTTTTTTTGGGTTTTTTTAGTCTGCAGTTATGAAAACGTCATTGATTTTGCTTGTTTGTTGCACTCTTTTGCACAACATATATCTATTGAGAAATTTAATTTCCTTTCTGAAATGTTTGTTAATTAAAAATTATTTTGTCCTTGTCTCATAAGGTTCGTTACAAATTTTAATTATGGGTCGTTGCAAAAGTTTTTTAACTCACGTATGGTGCTTATCCCCCCCCCCCCCCCCCCCCCCCCGTCCAAAAAAAGTCATTTGGGGCCTCGTCAAGATAAGAGAATAATAGAGGAGGAATTGAAAATTCAATATCTGCGTTCGATCAAATTTCAACACCTTAACCTAGTCCAATATCTCTACCTAATGATCTAAACACTGTCATAGCTATTTTAAGAACCCATTATCATCAAACACACGTTTAAAGACATCATTGTGTTTCTTTGTCGTTGGGACAATGGTGATTAGACCATAAACGATTATCATATTACAAGACATACCTTGAAACAACGTATGTAAATATAGATACCTGTTAATGCATCACCATTTTGTCAAATATTTATTCAAAATTGACCTTATAATGCACTCCCGTGTTAAACAAACGCACTATTTTTTTTGTTTCGATTCAGAAATCAAGTTGGAATAACACTTTAAGGTCAACTACCAGAGCCGATTGAAAACAACCAAATATGCAAACGACTCATCAATGTAGGCCTATGCATTAATCATGTTCAAACAAGTCGTATATTAGTTGAGCCCAAACCGACTGATGAATAATGATAACAGAAGTTCACACTTTGTTTGATAACAAATGTTTATAGATGCACGAACTTTTAATTCTCAACATACGCAAAATGTACACATGTCACATGCTTCCATGCATCAATAATAATTTGGTTATATATATCAGTATTCATACTTCTATTCCTGCGGGCTCTTCAGTTATCATTACCCGAGTTTTGTCATGTAGTCCCACCCATAATTCGAGAGGGTCCAACTTTAGCAAGACAGCTTATCCAGGGATGGAGGAACATAAAAATGCTCGAACCCGGAACCTTTTGTATGAGAGCCAACATATACATACCACAGAGCCACCACATTACGGTTGTACATGTACTGTTGTCTGTTATTAGGGCGAAAATCATATGCCATTTCATCACCATAATCTTGATTGTTGTTGTTGTTATTGTTTTAGTTGTTGCTTTTGATGTTGTTTTTTATTGAAATAAATTTCTGGCAACTGTCCTGATTGTTGTTTTAGCTCTATGATCATTATCGAACTATACGCAAATAAAGTAGCCTGCGGAGGTCAAAATAGTATGTTTTATAAAATGTTATCAAACAATTCAAAACACGCATTATATGATTTCCCCTGATATGAATATTAATACAGTGAACCAAAGTTAAGACAGTACCGCATGTCGATATCCTTTTGGGGTGTTGTACTCACATAATTTATATATCCTGAGTAATCATAATTTGGATCTGGCTGCAAGGGGGAAAAAGTCGAATAATCAGTATTGTGATCTAGATAGCAGTATTGACCATTTCAAATTCAAATTCATTCACGTTATTCATATGTAAATACAGTGTTACATATTTGAAAAAAGAGTGAAAACGCTCACACACCTACGCACCCACAAACATACCCTCATATACAAGGCGGCGAAAAACCCAAACCATAATGGGTTTCCATTCATTTCTTTTAACATTGTGCTTTCTTTAAAATGTAATACCGCATTGTGCAATATAGATTTGCCTGCAAACCCTTCTGCAATCTTTCCTTCGTCTTAATGTAGGATTGAACACGAAGCATTATCCTCTGAGAATTGGTGATTAAAACATATTAGAGTGCAAGGTCCATTCAACCATAGCGATAATCTCGGCTTTAACATAACCCGAACTGTAGTCACTGAAATACCTAATAGATACCTGTAGGCCTATAAAGGTGTGTATGTTTATCGAAGTTACGCAACTCAATCTCATAAAATGCTCATCTGAAATTGATAGGGTAGATCGTATGAAAAGGTGTGCCAAAGATAGACTTGGAATTCTCCCTTTGTTTTTTAACGAAGAAATGACTGAAATCATGAGGCACCAACTGGAAGTTCTTAAATTGCAAACTCCAGGAACTATGTCAAGGAGTGACAGTGACTGAAAAATAGTATTGATCGTATTATTATATTTGATGTACATTAGATAGGGTCTTAACCGTACGTGTATATGATATCTATATATATATATAATGGTTTATTTATTCAAAAATCACATTTCAGCCCAAAGGCTGAATTGCACGATTTTTTTACAAATCTTTGACATAAAAACAGATTATAATGAACATTGTAAAAAGCATTACACAAAATAATAACTGCATACAAAATTAGTAACGCTATAATATTCAACTAATATTCTTTTACATTTTAAACCGAAGTAGCTAGGATTATCAGATGGTATAAAGGCACATAGATTAATAGATGATCAGATTGAGAGAGGGAGAGAGAGAATCAAGAAGGGAGAGAAAAAAAGGTGGGAGTCAGAGAGGAAGAACTAGTGTTGGAAGAAAAAATACCATAAGGTAAAAACTAAGAATCAGGAGTAACGAAAGCCAGAAATAAGGCTCTAGGTATGTGTTTTTGAATGCTTCATCGTCAGATGAAAGAGCAAACCAGGTACAACGAATACATGATATATTGATATTTGAGTTCGCAATTTTACTTTTCTTCTGTTTCCCTTTTTGGCAATTTAAGTACCTTGTCCTCAACGTTAATTGCTGGGCATTGAGATGTTTAAGCCTGAATGTATCTCGTTTATCGATTAATAATGTCAAATTAATAAGATCAATAATATTAATGAAACAGTGATGATTCTTATAATATATAAATATTTTTTCTTGATTTCTGGTGTATTTCCGATTCAAAATCTCTCTTAAATCAAATAATTTATTCTGTATCTAAAGGACATTTTTTGTTTGTAATTATGACTTGATTAGACATCCTATATATGAGTGAAATTCACTGAAGTAAACTGAACTAACTTGAACTGAACAGAACTGTGTACCTTTTATGTGAATGTCATGATTGTTAATATTTTGTACTTTTACCATGTGAGAGACCTCGCAATTTGTAAATTAGTCGCAATGAAACTTTATTAAAAATATGACAAGGTATATTTACTTTGATATATTAGTAGAAGAGTTTTCCAAATTATTGATTAAAAAAGCTTTAAATCTAGGCCATACCGTGCAAGAACGACCAGAAGACATTATGATCAACCCCCTTAAATGTCTAGAATTTCAACAATATATTTAAAACTGCTCAGGTAGTATTGTGACGTCATGCTTTATGTGCATGCCGACGGCACCTTTTCCTCTAACACGTTTTAAAGGCCTTTATTATTTATTACCAATTTAGAATGGCGAATCTGATGCCGCCTCCAAACAACCACCTAGCTATGGAGTCGACGCCTCGGGACAACCTGTAGCCGGTCAACCCATGATGGTGCCCGGCCAACAAATGATGGCGGGTCAACCAATGGGAGCACCCGGTCAACCCATGATGGCACCTGGCCAGCAGATGATGGTACCAGGCCAACAGATGGGAGCACCCGGACAACCAATGATGGCACCTGGCCAGCAGATGATGGTACCAGGCCAACAGATGGGAGCACCCGGACAACCAATGATGGCACCTGGCCAGCAGATGATGGTACCAGGCCAACAGATGGGTGTACCAGGACAATACGCTTACTACCCCAACGCACAGGGCCAGGTACCCATGGTGGTGGGCCAGCAACCCGGTATGCCGATGCCGGTGCAGCTGATGCCAGCACCACAGGCTATTCCCGGGTGCCCACCTGGTTTGGAATACATGGTTCAGTTGGAGCAGCTCCTTGTTCATCAGCAGATCGAGCTGGCAGAAAGTAGGTAACAAAGTATGATGAACATGTTCGCAATTATAAAGACGTTCGAGAAATCATGTCAAGAGCAAAAGTAATACCTCATTGTAGTATTAATACCTCAAAGATCGTACCTTTCAATTTGAAATGAAGCACAAGGCTATCATTACAACTGAAATTGTCTCAGGTTGATCTCTGAATATCTTTATGAACGTGGCCAGGGTAATCATCAATTATCTTTGCCTTAAAACATCCCTAGGCTTAACCAACATTTCACTTAAGACTACTTATCCCTGGAACACCCCCAAGCAAAAATATCCGAGGTTACCACATCTTAGGACAAGTTTTCTATAACTGTTTATCCAAGACATTCACCCATAGGATCAAAACCTATGATAATCCCCCCTCAAGACTACCTCGTATTACCACATCCCAGGACACTACAGGGGCATTACGCATTTCTTAATTATGCGTATGAATGATAGCAACATTGGCTCGGTAAACTGTACTGACGAATTAAAGAATTATGTCAGAGGTTAAAGAAATGACGTCGTTACCTATCTTCTGTAAGGGACAATTCATGGACTTGACAGGTTAAACAAGTTTGAAGAACTTTGATCGATAATACGCTGGTATTGCAATTAATGTATTCAATTTTCCTTTTCTGTTTTTAGTGATCACTAATATCAACTTTGAGAACAAATACATGATCAAAAACAGCATGGGACAACAGGTCTATTTTGCCAGAGAACGTAAGTACCCCCATATCGCTTGTAATCTTGTTTCTCTCCTCCTCCTCCTCCTCCTCCTCCTCCTCCTCCTCCTCTTCCCCTCCTCCTCTTCCTCCTCATCCACATTCGCCTACTCCTCTTCCTCCTCCATCCCCTTTGCTCTTCTTCCTCCTCCTCCTCCCTCTCCCTCTTTTTATATTCAAGATAAATATTGATTTTACCTCTTTTAAACTTAAAAAGCGATCAGTGGCAAAATCAACTGAAATCGTTTCAAACTATGAAAATTGCATTATGTTGATTATAGCGTGACAAAAAAAGATATGTGTGTTATTATAATTGGAAAATGTTAAAAAGATGGAATCTAATTGAGGAAAACAGATACATCATGTGCGGATACTAAAAAGGAGACCATCTATTTATTTTAAAGATCTAAAAGTTTTCGTCAAAACTATAACCACTAAAGAACCACACAACATTTCTTTTAAGATATTACCATCTCTCCAAGAAAGAATATTCCAGTCCTTGTAAAGGACTGCACACAATTTGCTGTACCTGTTTAAGTTATCTCATTTTCATCTACCATGTTAATTGTAAACTGTTGAGTTCTAGTATGTGTATTGATTTTCTTTATCAGTTTAAAAGTTAATGTCTGGAAATGTGTATATATATATTGCTGTAGCATGGAATTTTGTTTTACTTTATTGAACGCAAAAACATAATTCAACTAAACAAACACACGAAGAAAAGAATAACGTTCTTTCCTATTCTCGTGTATTTCTTCTTATGATCAGACTCTGATGCGTGTATGCGTATCTGCTGTGGACCTGCTCGAGGGTTCGACATGACTATAACTGATAATATGGGACAGGTAAGCTAGGGACATCTTCATAATAATAAATCTTTTTCCACTTTAAAGCGCAAGTCTGGTCCATATATGCAAGTTTGAGAGATTAAATAGGGAAAGAAATGTAAAGAACGGAACAGTGAAAGTTTCATCACAATCGTATGAATACTAAAAAGTGAAATGGAATTTTTAAGTTTCGCTTAATTTCGGAATTGATTTGTATCACATAAAAGCATATTCAAGTTAGGAAGTTAATGATGTCAACCGCTCACTTATCTCTATCTGTTCGTTACATCAAATTTAACAGAAACACCACTCTTTTGCTCTTGGAATATAAAACATGGCTTGAACCCTCGTGGAATAAGTGCAAAATCAGAATCTCATTGTAATATAAAGAAACAAATTCATACAGGTGTGTCGAAAAAAAAGTTTGTAATAATGTTTTGTGTGTTGGTAGAAACCAACCATCAATCTTGTTTGCCTATATTTCATAGCAGAAGCTAGGTTATCCGCATCACTTTAAATATTCGTGTATGTTTTGCTAAGTGTTGCTCGTCGTGCTGTTGTTGTAATAGGCGCAAACTGCCACTCTTTCTTGTATGTTCAAATGGAGGAAATGATCCGTACCACTTGAATATTCAAATGTAGTGCTGAACTCTTTAGCTGCTTTCTTCGCCCTCTGCGCGGTTGTTGTTTGCCACACGTGCAATTTTGCACAAAACAATAGGAACCAACTGACGGAAAGATTGCTTTGTGCCACACAATGCCTTTGCAAAATTACCAGTTAACGGGGCTTGATTAGCCTCAGGGCAACATTCCTAACCCCAGTTTAGACCAATCTCGCTCTAGAAACACTTAAATAATCACGAAGCTTTATATGTATATATCATGCGATAAATACCATGTGGTACAGGGAGATTACCTGTGTTGTATACTAATCATAAAGAGTTAATGTTGTAGGATTGTATCGGCCTGCTTGACGTACTTTGGTGATAGCACCTTTCACTCTTTCCTTCTTGTTTTCAACATAACAGGAGGTGATCAAAATCACTCGAATCTTCAAATTGTGTGCTGGATGTTGCTGGTGTTCTCAGGGTACCAACTATTGCTCCTTCTTTATCGAGGTTGAAAGCCCACCCGGAACGACCATCGGATACATTAGGCAAAGGTAGGTTCTCTTCTTTGGTATTCATAGGTGCTGGTAAAAGGCAGCTTCAGTATAGTAATTTCATCAAGAAATCCATCCATTTCTATCTGGAGCGGAGGGAAGGAGGGGGGGGGGGGGGTAAATCGAAACAATTCTAGAATTCGAAGTTTATATAACCACATTACTAACGTGTCATTTATTGATGGTTAATTCAGTATACATACTATTTGGTAACAAGAGGTATCAAAAATCAACGTGCTAATCATAGTAAGCCTCCAATAAATCATTATTTCGCATTGAATACAATCACAAGATTGGTTAATATGGAAGCACAGAAAATGCTTAATAGAAATGTCCAAAGCACAACAAAATAAACAAACTAAACAAAATGATAGGAGAAACAGCGAAAAAGAGGGGGAAAAGTACTTTTGAATACATCGAAGGTACGATGGCTCATTTATATCAACTCTATCTTCGGTTCTATAATGTTAAATATTCAAAAAGTTGCCGCTTCAAATTAATGTTACGTTTTCCGCAACCCTCCCCCCCCCAAAAAAAAAAACACCAAAACGACAACAACAGCAACTTAAAGATCTTGTTTCTTGACGAGAATTTACCCTACCATTAATCAGGCGTTTAAGTATAACTCCTGCACACTGTACATGAAGCGTCATTTGTCTGACGTAAGGCTACGTCAATGACGTGTGCAGTGTTTGACGCACCATGTGATATCATGGGAAATTTAAACAAACAGGAACAATGTCAATATTGTTTTGAATGACTGGCATATGGGTTAATTGTCTCCACAATGTGGAATAGCGCACGTAATCATGATAAGAACGCAATCGAAATGCTGCCCCTCGTATGCAACTAGCATAAACAATGAAGATAATAATGTTGATAATCATAATGATAATAATAATTATAATGAGTATTTGTAAAACACCATATCCGTTTTGCAAAAAGGTCAAGGGGCTGAGAGTATATATGAAAAATAAAAACTATAATTAAGTGTAAATTGCATTACAGGGTACACCCCCAAACAATTTTTTTTTTTAAATACATAAATAAGATTAAAATATGGATACACTTAGGGAATATACATGAATGACACAGATGAAATATTGGAATATTGAATTAATCAAAAACAATTTCGATTTATTTAAACGTTTTAAACGCAACTAGCAACTAATGCAATCGAAACGAGCAGAATGGGTTTATCCAACATCTCAAACTCACTTTCTTTGTAGTCGAAGCTTTGCATCGCCGCACTTCGACGTCACAGACGCTAACGACCAGACGCAGCTTAAGATCCGTGGTCATTGGTGTCGATGCCAGACTATCTGTTGCACAGCAGACATCGAATTCAAGGTAAGTGATCCGAAGCCCAACTATAACCCTTTCATAGTCAGGTTCCATCGTGGTCAATCCACCTTTCTCCGACATGATTATGCTCGTCAATGTTTCATCAAAAATATTTGGTTAGGATAAGGGTTGCAGGTGGGTTTTACACGTAGGGTTTGAATAACAGTTAAGTACACTGTGTCTCTTAGTCCATGGTTAAAGTTAACAGCAGATCAACTGTCGTCATCGGAGGAATTGTATCAAAGCTAAAATTATGGCCCGGATTTCGAAACCTGCTCTACTTTAAAACCAGCCTAAATGTTTCAGCCTGGTGGGGAGTGTTTCACAAAGACTAAGATCGATTTAAGTTGGACTTGAACTACGGCAGGCCATACATGACACTGGTTGCTCTCATCATTGATCTCTCGAAGGATGTCAGAAATGTACAGAATTAAATTTGTTGATAGTTTATTGTGGAAACCTTTAATTATTTTGAAGCTGTTTTCGACAGGTAGTTTCTAAACTAAAGTGCAATGCATAGAATTGGTGTCCATTTGATTTCTGGTTGATTTTCACGACAGTTGTCCTTTGAGATGATATTAATGTACACTCTCAACCTATAGGTGTAGTAAACAAGTGCCCGGTAAGAAAGAGTCCCCTGAATGTTTGAGTGAATTATAATGTTTGCCCAGCTAAAGCCGGTATAGTATTATGATTGCACAGCTCATGGAAAATAGTATAACGATGAGGGTACCATTCTTATCAATACTTGCTCGATCTACATTCATCTTCATCAGTCGATATTTCCTTTTGATCTTCAATGATTAAACTTCAACTCAAAATTCGTTTGCTCTTGTAAATTCCTGTCCTCCAGATATTCACAAATGACTTGAAGACTCAGGTTGGAAAGGTCTCAAAGCAATGGGGTGGCTGGCTAAGGGAAAACTACACACAAGCAGACAACTTCGGAGTTGAATGTAAGTATTCAGTTGGAATGAAGTGATTGAAAATTGTAATTAATACATGGCTGACGAGGGCGCTCTTTGGTATTTATTTATTTGTTTTAATTTGTTTATCAGGTTAGCCCATTTACCAATAAGTAGTGGTCTTCAAAAAGCATAACGTTTACACAGGACAGTTAACATACATTTCCATAGTACATTTAAAAAAGATATAAACAGGTAATAACAGAGGTCGCACAAACGAATACCCGTTTGCTTAATAATCATATATTATTAACCTAGTTCAACCCTAGTGACAATATGAGTATGAGTATATTGACACCATAGTGGTAGCTGTGCGTGCATGTAGGAAGGAGGGCAGAGTCTCGCGATTAATCGAGCGAAATATTGCTATTAACGAGAGAATGATTAGTACAAAGTTTATGAGAAAGTGAGAAATAGAGAGAGAGAGAGGGTGAGGGGGGTTGGAAGGGGTAAGGAGACGAAGAGAGAAGGAGAGTGAGAGAGTCCATTCATCTCTTATTTTAAATTGAGCTGAACTGCTGATTAAAAACTGTCCTATAAGCTATTCATTAATCTGTTAATTCTGTAATCCGTTAATTCTATTATTCTTCCATCTTTATTAATCCCGTCATCATTAGTTCCTGCCGATCTGGATGTGAAAACGAAAGCTCTGCTCCTAGCCAGTACCTTCCTCATCGTAAGTTGCCTTCTATTTTCTAGGCAGGGTATTGGTCTACTGACACTACTTCAGATCAGAGCCATCCGTACACAGAGTTTGGCCAACTTGGTTTCACTTTTCAGTGTGCTTGCCCAACAAAGCAGTAGTCGCCATATTGTGTCCAACTCGAACCGGGTTATATAAGCCAAACTCTGTGTATAGTTGGGCTTCAGATTTACCTATACTGCCATCTGCTGCTTAAAATGTCCCGATGTTTCGACATCCATGTCCCACAGTAAGCGCTTTACGAGCGCATGGTGATCACTGACCTGAATGTTTAGTTCTGTCAGTGATGGTGACGCCTGGGTACAGGAACTGGAATTCACTCTATGTCCGCCTTTACTGAAAGACGGTGCAAATGAAAATAAATAGCAACACTGGGACCAATGTCAGTAAAACACCATGCCTTTAATGTATCCTCATATTTTTGTTTCGACGTGAAAAGAGCATACTATTTTGCTGTATTTTTCTTAGCTCTTTCTCTCTTGTTGTTTTACCTCACAAAATGCTCAAAATGAAAATGAAATAGATTCCTGACACGAAACTGTGAAACTGGGAACTATTGAGAAAATTGAGATTTAAGATATAGGCATAATTGCATTGAAAGGCGAATCATCCCCATTGTCAATACTACTCGTTCACATTCGTTTAGATCCTTAAATGAATTTAATCTTAATTCTGTAATCATAAGATGAAAAAAGGGTCACCATTACAAGGACTCGGTAACATTGTTCAGATGAGAGAAAATGTGGCTAAGGTAGTGCCTTCAATGTTAGATGCACAATTTAAGATAATCTGGAAATTCGAGTGAAAACAGACCATTATTAATGATAAAAAATTGGGGAAAACTGATCTGATCGATTCCGTAATTCTTCCAACTATATTATTACAATTTAAACGGTTTTATGTGGAAAACGGTTAGGAAAATTCAAAGATGGCTGGGGAGAATTTGCTGTTAGAGGATGTCGCACAGTTACACCTTAAACAAAATCATGAATATCTTTGTGGTTTGAGAATTTTTGTTCAAGATTATATGCATGTTAGAGGGTTATTACAGTATATAAATGGTAACATTTCTTAGAAAAATTAAGCAATTTTTTCATCCACCTCCAACAATGTCACCGAGTCACTTTAAAAAGAATCGACCACATCGTTGGTAATCACGCCGCTCTGGAAAATTGAAGAAATTTTATTTTTACTTTTGTTTTCTTTCTACAGGACTTCATGTTCTTCGAGAACCCGCAGCAGAACAAGCAAAATTATTGAAGAGAATGACCCGTCAACTACTTCTTTCGTAGGCCATGAGAAGCAAGCAACACATTTTTAAAACTTTAGTTGTCTGTTGCATGATTGCCCTCTATTTTTTTTTAGCTGCAGTGAACTTATTCATGCGTCCAGCTTCCCCTTGTAAATATTCATCGGTTACTGGTAATTTGCACCGTTCTTTAATTTCATGATTTAGATTTAGAGATTTTTTAATATATATTTATATAAATACAGTGTGTAAATGTTTTCTTTGTATATTACATGTGATGTTTACTTGGGATGAAAATCTCATAACTTTTTTGGAAATCATACTGTAAATACGTAATTTTGTTTATCTGTTTATTGTAATTACCGTTATGATGCTAATAATCAATGTTAGCTGGAACCACACTATCACTGTATATTTCCGCCCAGCTGAATTTACCAGCGTGTTGGAATATACATGTTTTACCATGCCTCCTTGTATATACCACGCTACATCATCTTTAATAAATAGATAACCATGATAACAGTAAGTCCGAGAATATCTCACTGAGCACGCCAGACATATTTTTTTATCGCAGTTAGTAATACATTTAATTATATGATGATGATGATGATAATAATAATAATAATTTATTAATATTCTTATTATGATAATGACAATAAAAATAATAATATTATTGGTAGTAATAATTATAACCATGGCAATAATAACCATGACGATAATAGTGGTTCTTCTAAAACTATGATGAATGTCTGTCAGACTTAACACTCCTTCTGATCCAAAATGAGATAAATATGTACATGTATTAATATAAATTGAATTCGTACGTTTGCATATAATATGAATATTGGTGTCATGTAAAATAATATACCAATATGCCTGTATAAGATCTTCTTTTTTTCGGAACGATTTAACCGGTATAACATTTCCAAGTGTCATAAAATGCTACGAAATTGTTGTTTGCGCCTAAGCCCATCACACAATAAACGATCCTTCTCTGATTTAAAAAATAATCGCAATACCACTAGATACGGAAAATAAAAATGTAATTTTCAAAGATGATATTCTGACTAATATGTATGTACAACAATTTGAATTATAGTGCACTGCAGCTTTGCAGTCCAAATAGAGAATAAATCAATTTAATATCGTTTACAATCCCATATCAAGTCTCTGATGTCAACACGATCCTCGGCCAATTTGGATTCTTCTTCATCAAGAAAGTTTTCGATCCTTTATAATTTTACTATTCACATGACTGTCTAGAACATTGATCGTCCAGGTGTTGTATATTTGAATGTTCATATGAAATGCTATTGATAATTCTTCAAACATCAGATTGCAGGCAGATCGTATAGTAAGGTAGGATTAAATGTACAAACGAGACTTTAGATTATTCATTTACTCAATTTCGTATTGTTCCTTATCTCTCTCTTAGAATGCGATACACAATGTTTAGTATGTTTTTATATCCCTTTATATTACCTTGTATTCGGGAAACTTATAAACCTTTATTAGAATTTTCTTTGTATGAAATTGATCGTTGTACTATATATTTTGAATGTGATTATTAAAAAAAATCTACAAATAAACAAAGATATATAGTGTTTAGATGTCAAGTAGAAGTTAGGTACACACACTTTCCCCCCTTTTTAAAATAGTTTTTTGCATTGATTCCAAAGAAAACAAATCAATCTTAGAAATAAAATACAGTCGTTTTTCATCTTGACATGAATTCAAAACATTTCATTACATAGATTGTACGATTGATGAAAACAAAAAAGAAATCAATTTCAACATGAAAATAAAAAACCTATCCAACCAAACACACCACTACCCCCCCCCCCCCGCCATCATGCGACACACACACACCACCCGACCACACTCCCACACATATACCAGACACTGTTCCTACCCAAATTGTAGCGACAGAATAATAGAAATAATCCATTTAAAAAAAAAAATTAAACGAAGCTACAATAGCCCAGGGTTAAAGGTTCATGAAAACTTCACTTGTTCCCACTTCTGTATACAATGTTATATTTCTTACCTGGCTGTAAATTTAGGAATTTGTCATTTTACAACAATTTACTAAAAAATGAGAAAATGGAAAATTATGTCATTTCAGCATTATGTGTAAAGCATAGTTATGGAATTAGAAATAAACCACGATTAAATTTTATTTCCCCCGAGCCCCCCCCCCCTCCCCCGATCTACACTTTGTTGGCGGAAAATCGCAGCTGATCTCCCCTACCTTTCTTCTTTCTCTTTTTTTCTTTCCCTTTCTCTCCTCTTTCCCTTTCCCTTCCCTTCCCTTCTTTCTCTCTCTTTTAGGTTTGCTATTATTATTATCAGGTGAATGAAATAATTTGTATCGAGGCACTTGATTCACTTGGGGCGTCATTGAGAACGCCCGTAGATTTGGCCAAAACCCGTTCTGGATTTCAGTACCTCGGCGGTCACCCTGCTGTTACTATAGTAGTTTTTACATTTTGCACACCTGTTATACCGGGATAATCGCTAAATAATACGATCGTAAAAACATAGATATCCAGCACAATGTCGTCTCTTTTTGTATCGGAGAAGAGCAAAAAAGCGATATTCAAGCACATTTTGGCCTCTCTCGCAAACTCTCACTGATTCGATTGTGGTCAGGCGGCTTTGGGGTGATAATCAATATACTAATCGTTAGCTTTCTTCTGGTATTAAACTTGTTTTGATCAATTGTATATTTTTGTCGGAATAAAGGAAACAAAAACGCTTGAGTGACCAATAACCTTCAGCGTCTGAAGTTCCGGATGCACGCGCAAAATAATAAACATGTTCTAATGACGTAATCATCGCTAAATCGGCGTCTTTTATGGTAAAATGCTACGAATTCACAATGTATATACATCTTTTTTTAAAATTATTATTAAGATATAACATTATTTTGTTTGGGTTTTTATTTAATGACCCATTTTAAAATAAGAGCCACTTAACTGTTTCAATGACTGGATCGTACCATTAATAATAATAATAATAATATGGTTATTTGTATAGCGCCGGTATCCGCCAGGTCGCAGGTTAGAAAGATGCACATGAATTCCAACAGCGCCACATTACATTTAAGTACCGACATTCTGCTAGATAAATACAAATAATATATGGTATATTAATCAGTTTGTGAACACCACAATGAAGGAAAGTGAGACACAACTGCCCATCGGAATCGGGAGTGAGTGGGAATAGGATCAACAATCTATCTCTCTCTCTCTCTCTCTCTCTTTCTTTTCACTTTATGTTGCCTGCTATCTAACTCACCTGTCTAATTACAAATCGCCCCCCCCCTCTCCCCTCCCCTCTCCCTCTCTCTCTCTCTCACTACCTTTCTATCTCCTGTTCTCTATTACGGGGGGGGGGGGTGGGTGGGGGATCCCTCCTTTTTCAGGACCAATCTTTTTTAAAGTTTTTTATTTCAGAAAATCGAACGAGATCTTAGCCAGGAAGTATTGCTTACTAAACGTTTCTCCACAATAAAAAAATCATCTCTGAAAATCCTTTGTTAAAATTGTACTGCAAAGTATTATTCTTTGGTTTATTGATCTTACACGAGTTTTAAAAAAATGGAATATCAAATTAAAAGCTAGAAGGAAGTTATCTTCCTGATAAAGTATATGAAATAACGCCCATATGGCCATCAATGGTTAATCTGGTTGACTAGAGCAACGTAATATCTCTATCACCATGATCATTAGATAATGATAATGATATATTTTGTTTTTATGTAAGATAAATAATATAACTAAAGGAAATTTAATACACAAACCTACAAATGATGCCGATTATATTATGGTATTACCAAAAGTTATTTTCGCACGCCTTTCGCACACAATCGCGTTGATTTTTCAGTTATATTTGCAATTCACAAGAGACGCTATAAAAACGCCTACAATCTAAACATACATAAAATTATACATATAAACAATGCATTTGCGTACGCAACGCACATACTCAGACCCGCACACATTTAAAAGCATTCTGCAAAATTACATATTTCAAATTATAATCAAAATAAAAAATGTATTTCTTATACTTATCAATAATAGTTGTGCAACTAGATATATTTCAAACAATTATCAAGACGTTAAAACATAATATAAAGCCCTACTTACATGATATATCAATTAAACATGAATTAAGCACAAATTATTTCTGGAATACATGAATAGGCCTACCCAAAATGTTTAAAAACTCCTTTATAGACACATTTTCCTTTAAAACATCCATGTTCTACGGGGAAATGAGATGACCCCAACCTTAGGTCTAAAATGTAAATGCTTGAGATTTACATGCCTTTTTATGAAAACAAGTCCTTTTTATGAAGTCCTTTTTTCCATCATAACAATTCAATTTGAAATTAAGTCGTTTAATTTAAAAACAAAATGCTTTGAGACTTTGTCATCCATTATATTACCGTGATTGTATCTCTTTACCATATTATTACACATAATTATTAAGCCTTCTCAAGTTTAATTCTTAGATTTGACCACTCCAGAAATCTATACTTCACAGTGTATAGAGGCTGAACAAGAGTTCCTGTACTGATATGTAGTGAATGCTTAAAGGTCTCATATTATTTTAAAAAATACTTTTTACAAAGTTGTGTCATTTTGCGTCAAGTGAAATTTCAGTTTCGGGTTGTTTGCTGTTTATTTATTTTTTATGATACGTAGTCAGCATTTATGGCCAATAGTTTTTCCACACAGCATTTTCTACCTAAAAACCTTTTATAATGCGTTTTTAAATGTCAGTAATCTACTTGTTTTAGAGAGTGATTGGAAATTGTTACAAGGATATTATTTCACAATTCATATCTTTTAATTCCAAAAGCATCAAAATAAATAAAACTTTGAGCATGAATATTCATTAGGACAAGTTTTGACCATTAGTAATATCAGGCGTCAATTAAAACTGGGCATTCAATTCCAAACCTGCGTAGAAAAATTGTTGACCGAATGGTAATAAAAGCACTTTATGTTCATAAAATAGTATCGTTTATGGCAGTCCGCTAAGCCAGCAATAATAAGCCCATGTTACAAGTGGTCCAGGTTTCTGAAAATATAGAAGCCCCCCTGGAGTCCATTATACGTTTTACATTTTTAGAATACACCGAATACTTTCAGAAATGACGACGGCGGTATATGTACAAAATTTTCTCTGCTTTTAAAACAATAATTCCACCTGAGTATCACGAAAATCAATGATTGACCCCTATTGCCATAATAATATACAATATTTGTCTCGGTGGGTATCAATACATAATGAGGTGTTTAAAGTTCGCAGAGTTTATAAACAAAAAAATAAGAAGATGATTTTTTGTTTTAATTATTATTATTTATTTTTAATTTACATTAGCGCGCACACAGAGATAAGCGCACTTTAGATATTCATGCCTTTACAAATAACAATAGTCATAATATTTAAAGTAAACAACGAAGGACACTTTTGCTACACGATAATTTCGCTAGAGCCTACTGGATTTCAGTTTCACATTTTATAGAGAGGCTTAAGATGGCGGAGGAGCCAACGTGAGCCCAACATTAGGGACTTTTATATGTGCACAATGACAACGTGGATTGCTACGATCGACGTCCTTTTAATGCACTGCCTTGACTGGACGTCACACGTATCAGTCCACGCAAATCTAAAAGTCCCTATTGCAACCATCGGAGGTTCTCAGGGTGAAAACGATGATGTAACTTCGGTTCATTCGTTGTTAGGAGGACAGGCATCCGTCATGGTGGTAGAACGAGCATTAACTGTGGTGAGGGGGATGCCCTGGTCCATTCTCTGCGTCTGTCGGATGGTCTTGGCGTGAGTGCAGGTATACCACACGGCTACGAAACTGCTTAGTGCCAGCAGCGACAGAGACACACCAACAAAGGCCATGGTACCGATCACTCGATTAGAATTTGAGGCTAAATGAAAACCATCAAACACAAAGCAAAAACCTGTTTGTCAGGAGCCAATTAATCTGCTTGACATAATCATTTCTCATCCTGTTCTCACATGTTATTATACGACAGTATACGACTTACAACAATTAAGCCCCCTTTCAACTAAGATTTAAACACGACGTTGAGTTTTAGGCTTTGTCCAAAATAACTATACATATTTTTGTGAAAAAAGAAGGGTGATTGGAATACCTCGTCTATTTTTCGCGTATATGTGAAACCGACAGAGAAAGAAATTACTACGCCATCGCCTGAGAATAGGTTTACAACTTTGAACCTATCAAGGAGTTAATATTTTATCCTAACTCTTTGAACCTATACAAAGACAGGGGCACAGTGGCCCTGGGAGTTTGGGGAGTTTTTCACAAGTAACCGGTCGATTTCAGGTCTGCACTGAGAGCCATCCGAATTCTCCAACGGAATTTCAGTGCCAATCCGACCCTCCTACAAGATATGGAGAATAGAAATAGTTTTGGCATACTTACGCTCCTTGCACCTCACACCTACAGCGTCTTTGTTCGTGCAGTAGCCGTTTAACCAAGTGTAATGATTACAGTCGTCCAAGTTGACCTCATAACCGGAACAGTAAACACTTCTCAACCAGATCAGCCCCGAACCACTTCCGAAAAACGCCCCTTTAAGGGCCTCAGCGTCCTCAGTGATGTATCCCAACTGCCGGCATACGACCTCCGCCATGCTTTGTAAGGTGTTATCCGCCACGTAGTTGCCACACACAGTTCCCCATCGTCCATTGGCGCGGACTTCTAGCCGACCTTCGTATTCCGATGATGAATTCACCAAGCGAATGTCGTCTATTGAGATAACGCTTGGTAGTACTGTCGTAGGATCTTTATAAACAATAAAATAATAATAATAATAATCTTTTAAAGTCCACTCCGAATTTTATTAAACCAAAAATGGAAATCCAATTTGCCCAATTGATCGTGAGCCCGGCAGCCACTGAGCAGCGCCAGATCGACGTTGCTCTATCCCTTATTGTTGAACGCCAAACAAGGTAACAGCAACTCCCGTCTTTTAACGTCTATTGGTATGACGCGGCCGGGGTTCGAATCCACGACCTCCCGGTTGTGAGGCGGACGCTCTATTGACTGAGCCAACACACCGGTCATGGGTGATTACAGAAATATTATGATATCACCTCCCTGTTCCATAAAATTCACTACGACACAAAGTCATGTTCTGGCGAGAAATGCTCTGACCTGTCAATATCCGAAACTGACCAAGTTCTTGGCCTTAAGCAAACACTATACCTTACCCTAGCCCTTACCCTAACCCATATGACAAAATAAAGCCATTGGCACAGGTTGCTAGTGTATATGTCACCTAGAGCATCTTAAGGCTCGTTCAGATAATGACCTAATTATTAAATTATAATTTCTGAGTCTTAGTCTGAATCTTTGTGGCGTCATCCCAACAAGCAGCCAGCTTTTTTTATTTCATGTTTGACCTTGGCCGAGCCAATCGGCACTTTATATATCACATGATCTCTTTACACTTTAATTATTTCCGTATTTCATTCTTCTTGTGTATCTTATCTAAAGACTATCTCTGATATATGCTACAGTTTCCCAACAAGTTATGTGCTAATGCACAGTTATTCGCCAAGCGAAGGAATTCAATAATAAAAATTGTATCGAAGAAAAAGAATAAGAAGCACACTATTAATACGCGCAAGTCCTTTGTTGCGAACATGCAGTTACCATTCATTTAGCCACATTCAACCAAGGTGAGATAACAGATTTGTTTTTTTTTACCGCGGCATAACATCTGGTGTATATATTATGATTGTTAGTTTTTTTTCTACTTACGAAAGCATTGCACTCCAGCATTGACATATCCTCTTTGGCAATACGAATCGGTGACACCCCATCCGTTATGCGTGCAGTCCTCTAACCTGTCATCATAGGAATTGCATCTGACATTAGTAAGGTATTTCGGTCCTGATGCAGCGCCGTACGTACCACCAGTTCTAGCCACCCCAACATCCCCTGTATACCCGAGCTGCCGACAGACTACCCTTGCGTCATTGTCATCCCAGCCTCTATCACAGACGGTACCCCATTGGTCATCATGGAAGATCTCGACCCGGCCTTCGTCTGGACTAGAACCAGCCACAAGACGGACAGCTCCTTCCAGGGAACCTTCGGGACAGAAACAAATAACTTCGGACTTACATCGAGAAATACAGAGTGACACATAAATCATTCCTGTAGATAAATGTTGCTTGTTTTAAACGGCTCGTTCAGATGTAACGCGGCAAATCCGCGGCGCTTTTTGTGGAAACGTAAAGTGTAATACGCTCCCCCCCCCCCCCCCCCACTCAGTGTTATTTAGGGTACACGTATGCTTGTTTTCTCTTTTTGAAAGCACCCCCTATCTGAGGACTGCCAACATTTCCGAACCCCCCTTTCGCGGTCTTTTCGCGGGCTTTTCGCGGGCTTTTCCTGCCTTGGAGACCCTCCCAAATACGGAAAATGCTCAATGTACCCCCCTAAATTCGGAATAATTTCCAAGGAGTCCAAAGAGATGAGAGAAACAAAAGAAAAACACCCCCTTTTTAAAGAAATCTCCGGGTGAAAAGTCAAATACACCCGTTTTTTTTTTACAATTCTCGGGCCGGACTTTGTCGCACGAATAGTACCCCTTTACCGGACATTTTGGCAACACGCATGCGGTCATTCCGACCCCGGAGTGGGGGGGGGGGGGTCGGGAATACACTTCACATTTCTGAATGTTTTAACGCAGATCTCAGTGAATACGCGGAGTTGCCATTAATTTTACCCGAATTTTACAGGTACAAAAAAAAAAATTGTTCGCAGCGTTTTTCCGAACAAGCCTTTACCGCGTCACACTGACTTAAGCCCGTTATTCCATAAGTTACGTTTTTCGATTCAATATTAGTCATGCCACGTACAGTGAACAAGAGGCCAGCTAGGGGCCACACATAATGACGGCTACGCCCAGAGTTGTCTTGTGTAGATCGTTAAACCACTCGTCCGCCGAAAGTAGATATCCGGACAAATCCGATACCTTAGTTGAGCTAGCTAGCTAGGCCGTCGAACCCTACTCCAAGGGGTTTGCGTTACGGTGACTAGAGATTGCGCCTATATCTCCTATGCATTTATGCATGAATATCTTTGCATGAAGCAAATGAAAGAACGCTCACATGCATCGGGTATACCGGGCCATTAATACTGTAGGATTGCTATAGTCAAGATATGTAAATGCGAGCGACGCAATAAAACTTAGTATGTTATCGCATTGCTCGCATCGAATCTATTATAAACAGTAACATATATAATATTCACTACTCCATTATATTTTGATCGCAATTTAATTGTGCAACACACTTCTGTGAAATCCAAAGTGCTGTTGCTCGTTCGTACCGCATATCAATATTTACACCGCGTATATATACTTTGCATTGTTAGTCTTTTAATGTTTAACTCGGATGCTCGATCGAGACATAATCCAAAATGCTCACCTTAAAGATAAAGACCAGTATTGGAAACGCCCCAATTTCAAAAAAATGAAATGGAAGCTCTTATTACCAATCATGTGAAAGAATATGTTTTGACTAATACATGATGATAACATTTTTGCCGGGAAACCGCCTACTAATTGATGTATTTGGTAAATTAGTTTATCTACATGGTCTGTGAGAGATAAACGCACGTGTCGCGTATAGTCCCATATACATCTTTCTGTGCACAGTGCTTGTAACTTTACGAAGACTGGGCCATATGTCTTATCATTTTGATGATTCCAGAACCTTGCAGTACACACCAATACTTATATATGCTAGATGATCAACCTTTTCTGATCGATTCCACAACGTTTCTTTCACAATGCAATCGCATGACCATAACTGGTCTTTACCTTTAACTCTAAATGCGAACCCTAACTCAGATCCTAAATTACATTTTTTTAGTACAAACAATATTGTTTCTGATTAACATTGATATATGATTATGTTAAAAATGAATGATTATGAGAGGGTCGACATTTCTTTGCAAAGGCCTAATACACTGTCTTCACTTGCCACCCTAGCTACAATGAAATATTCGCTGCCAGACCTCACGCATAGAGGTGTCGTAGTCGAGTGGTTAAAAGCACTAGACGGGGAATGCAAAGGTCGGGGCTCCGAGTCCCAACACGACACTATGTCCTTTGGCAAGGCATTCATCTACATTTGCCACTCCATACCCAGGGTAGAGGTAGGGACTTGGTAGGATGACGAAAGCATTTATGTTAGAAATGGTGATGGTGCACATTGTTTCTGAATGAATCCGATGACCGGGGTAATGATGTCTGTAAAGCTCTAGGTATTTCGTATTAAGCGCTATATAAATCCAGATTATTATCATTATTAATATTACTGCAAACTTACTAATGCAACGAGCTCCAGCCACATCACTGGGGTCACAATTGTCACTGCCGTCGTTGCTGCTCCTGCATTCATCCAACCTGCTTTCCGTGCCACTGCAGAAAACGCCTGTAGAGTGTATTGGACCACCACTCCAGTCGTCCGCAGTCCCGAATGGAACACTGCCACTGTCATTTTGGTATAATCCCAGCTGTCGACAAACAGCCGTCGCTTCTGTAGCACCCCAAGAACTACGATTGCAAATAATGCCCCATTGGTTATTGTTATAGATCTCAACCCGACCTTGGTTTGTCGTGTGTCCATCAATGAGACGAACATCTCCTTCGTTGGGAACTTAAAATCAAACAAAAGGATGGACCAAATATTAACCAAATGTCATTTTGAAAATGCAAATGGTGAAATAACAAAGAAGATATCAGGGTGGTATGCTGAAAACGATCGATGTAAGCGTGAAAAACATACTTAATATTAAAAACTATGTTAAAAAAACATGTTAACATAATTTTTGGCAGGAAGATGGAGCGCTCATACACGCATAATCTTAGCATAACTTGCAAAGCATGATAGTTAATATAGTTTTGGTATTCTGAAAATTGTTCTAGCCGAAATTGGTCTGGAAGTCTTTTAAGTACTGTACATCGTCCTATTTATACTTTGAGAAACAAGTTTCACAGAAAATACGTGTTTACACAAGCGATGAGAAAAAGTAGGATGGGAGTTGTGTCCCGAAGCTGAACAAAAGCAAATGTATCCCTTTTGCCTTTGGATTTAACGAACTGCAGGCCTATGTACTAAAGATGCAGAACTAACCATCGTGAATATTAATCCTTTATCATATTGCATAACAAATTAGTCAAAACAAAATATAATAAATATTCCACGTAAAGTTCTTCAAATTACAGTTTTCATGGTTTTAAACCAACTGTCCAGATAGCCAACCTGTCCGGGCACACAACGTCTGGTTATATTCAATTCAATAAGGGTTTATTCGTATGATGTTCTGGCAGCCGAAGCTGAATTGCAGATCATTTGTACAAGGTAAAAACATCATGATATTTAAAATACACTGAGCATTATACATTTTGACATAACTAAATTAGATAATATTATTAATGCAAATATTGTTGTTGTATATATATATATACATTGAATTATTCTTAATGCTAATATTGTGAATTGTCACTAGAAAGTGATCTAACTATTGATGACAATTCATTGTCTTTGTTAATTATATGGTATTTTAACTAGTAGTATATTTGAAACAATTGTGAAAGAAATAGATATGTTTTTAATTGTAAATTGTCATGCAATTCAGCCCAGGCTGCGAAATGATGATATTAATAAACTGAACTGAACTGAATAAAATAAAATTAATGACATATAAAAGGATAAAAATACTGGACACATTTATACACATAATAGGCAACATCATTAAACATAAACATATACAAAAATATATATGAAGCTTACTTTTTTGAATAATAATCGTTTAAGATACGAACAAAATAGGGAATAGAGCTGTTATTAAAGCGACTAGTTTTACAAATAAATTGAGAATATTTCTGTACATTTCGTAAATTAAATTTAACAATTCTTTGACTTGGTAGCCATAACGAACACAAATCATGCTTTTCTAATTTAATGGCGAAATCAAAACAAAGTTTATTCCTACGTTCTTCCAACGTTAACAAATTGCACAGTTCTAGAGCATGATTATATGTTTCATAATTAAGTCCCAAAATAATTCTACATGCCCGTTTTTGTATTCGTTCAATATTATCTGTTTGTATACGTGTTAGGTTGGAATGAAAAAGTGGTGCACAATACTCTAAAATTGGTCTTATGTATCCAGTATAAACAATAACGAGATCAATAATAGGTAAATTAAAACGTTTCAAGGTACGTATATAACTTTCTACTGCACTTCTTTAACATTTCCTTTACTTGAGTAAAGAGCTTATTTTGTAAAGATGTGTGGTCCTATTTTATTTTCATACTTAATCTAAAGCGAAATAAACGTTACATTCCAGAACAAAAATTCATTAAAGTTGGTTATACAGTGATATAGACGTCAGATGATTGTCACAGAAATTAGATACAAATCAAAGGAAAGGAGACATTTGATAATAATGGTTAATGCCATATTTCATCTTTGAACTTACCAGTGCAGATAACAGCAACATCCTCAAGGTGTGAACAGTCGTGCGAGCCCCATCCATTACTGCTGCAGTCATCCAATCGAACTTCGAAACCGGTGCACCTGACATTATCCAAATGTATACGGCCATTTGCCCTTCCATAGTTATCACCCCGGGTAGCACTAGCATTGTTTGTTTGATAGCCCAACTGCCTGCAAAGTACCTGGGAATCTGGGGAGCCCCAGCCATCGTCACATATGGTCCCCCATATGCCAGCGTGGTAGATCTCGACCCGACCCTCGTTTGGACTGTTACCATTCACCAGGCGAACATCCCCATCTTCAAGATCTTTAAACAAATATAACATAGACACTGGTATAATTCCAATTGAGGGAGGGGGGTAACATCATGTTGCAGGATCTAGGGAGGGGGCCGGGAACAGTACTCAGGCATTCTGGAAATGGACTTATCAGCCCAGTGCGTGCAATACTCTGACGAGTTTCCGAATTGCTGTAGGATATACAAATGGGGACAGCAGCCGTTTCAGAGGCTAAACAAATAGGGACTTTTAGATTCGCATGAAGACAATAGGTCTATGCTACGATCGACGTCCTTTTTAAATAATGCACTGCCTTGAATAGACGTCACACGTATCAGTCCACGCAAATCTAAAAGTCCCTATTGTCTGACTCTGTCATCGTGGCAATAGCATAAGCCTTTGGAATAAAGTCGGCTACGTGTGTGCACATTGTTTACACTATGACACCTTTCCAAATCGCTGTAGTGCATTCTCTTGGCAATTCTCCCCGAGGTATTACTGTGCCACCATATGTATATAATGTCTGTATTGTGAACACAAATCTTGCTCACAGGAAATGTACATGTATGATGACAAACAGTGTAAACACAAACTAGTTTAACTGAACACATTGCGTGTTGAATGAAATTGTTCCAGGTCCTCGCAAGGTTCAGATCGGATAAATTTGCCATTTCCAGGCAGTCCACGCCAGTCTGTAGTCAGTTTAAACCCACCGCCCGGCCGCTTGGAAATGTCAAATTTACCCGATCTGAATTTGATATGAACTTACAGGGACGGGGTACAGACTAGTTGGACGTATTGTGGACTGTTAAAGAACGAGCTAGGATCGTATTATAGACATTAGTCCAGTCCGAGCCCGTCCATGAAGTCATTAAACAGATCGTAAATAGTTTCACACACTTTGAGCCCGTTTGGCAACATTTTTGAAATCGTAGTTTGGTGTGATGGGGGCTTTAGGCTTTCAACTTACCCGCCGGGCAATGAACTGCAGCATATCCGTTATCCCCACAACTATCGTTGCCCACTGCGTTAATGCTTTTACCGCAGTCATCTAGCTTGTATTCTTGGCCTACACAACTAACATTATCAAGGTGTATTGGTCCAAGACCGGGTCCGTATGTTGCACCGCTGATAGCAAATCCAGTATTTGGCTTATATCCCAGCTGTTGACATACAACCCAGGCTTCAGAGGCACTCCAATCCGAGGCACAGACACTACCCCATCTCCCTACGTAGAAGATCTCTACCCGACCTTCGTTTATCAATGGACCATCTTGTAAACGAACATCTCCGTCATCAGGCACTTTTGAAATTAATACAATGAAAGAAGAAACAAGGATGAATGATGGATACGACAAATGTTTCTTTTTCTAATTTGTTTTCTTTTCTTAAAATATTCTAAAACTATTGCGAAATACTGGAATCGCATAACGATTCTAAATTTAACGATGACAAATGTTACAATATATATTATTGTAATACTATTAAATAGGGGTGGGGTAGATCCCAAGATTTAAGAACAATAGGCAAGGCCACGCGGTTCATTTACGAAAGTAGGCCTTCTATTAACGACAAATTATGTAGCGAGGAGAAAAGTTCAAATATAGTTTAGTGGCCAAGATCATGATGATGATGATGGTGGTGGTAATGGTGGAGATTATATTGATGATAATAATAATAATGGTGATTATAATAATTATACAGAAGAAATGGAGGGTAGAAAGAAAAGAAATATATTAGACTTCCCCACCCCCTTCCGGCGGTTTTACCCAAGCCGATGGCATGACATCAGACTTACAAGAGCATCGTACTCCGGCATCTTCGGAATGTGTACAGTCGTGGCTGCCCAAAATTTGACTGCGACAGGATTCTAGTCTGACCTCTCTGCCCGAACACTGGACGCCATCTAGGTGTATTGGGCCAGATCCTTGTCCAAAATATGCCTCTCTATATCTATCTCCATCAAATGGTTTGTACCCCAGCTGGAGGCACACAACCCAAGCGTCTTCGACGTCCCAAAAGTCATCACAAACGGTACCCCACTGGTCGTCATGGTAGTACTCCACCCGTCCCTCCATTAGACTGTGACCACCCACAAGCCGGACATCACCTTCAAAGGCAGCTTTAAAGGTGGATCATATAATGATATCAATAATATTAATAATAATAACAACAACAATGGTAATTATGATAATGATAATTATAATAATTATAATAATTATAATAATAATAATATTGATGATAAAAATGATGATACAAAGCGGGTTCTGGTAGGTCTTATGTAATCTTTGGTTACCCATGGTGGTCCTTTTGCCCTCAATTTGCTCTTAGCGCAGTACAAAAAACTAATTGAGCTTCATATAAGGTTCAATAAGGCATAACTATTTTAGATTACTTTTTATACATGCAGAAAATATTTAATAAAAATATTATACGATGCTAAAATACTTTACAATGAATTACATTACATTAACAAACATCGCATTAAATTAATTACAATTACAATATAGTTGCGTATAGTTACCATAATAAGTATTGTAGGATGAGAACAAATGTAACTTTAATCTACTCTTAAATAAATCAAGAGACGGTGCCTCTGGGCATTATTAGGTGGAAATGATGAAACATGTTTAGTTTTGTCAAAATTATGTTACAACGATATTGATTTATTTTCATTTATTTTATTTGAGCGAGGGACCCTACCTCACCCGATGGCCGTTCTTTCGTTGTTATTGTGGTTTGATGATCACATATGCATATATATAGTCAGGTGCCTAAGTACCCCCGTCACACCGCCAAACCGACTCCACACCGACCCCAAATGCGAGAGATTCTTGGTCATTTGGGGGTAATGTTTTGCTGGGTCTGTTACAATGTGGTGACGATTTCGTCTTTGTTGGGACTGAGTTTCAAACACACTTACGTGGGCAAACCACTCCAGCATCTCGATCATGGCCACACGTGTTGTTACGCCATCCGCCACTGCTGCAATCTTCAAGCTTGATTTCAGTACCTTCACATTGAACATTACCAAGATGTATTGGACCAGTTCCTTCAGCATATGCACCCCCACTTATAGCCTCGGCGCCATGTTGGTAATTTCGTAGCTGTTTACATATAACTGCAGCGTCATCGTTGTCCCAATCATCATCACAGACTGTCCCCCATTCTCCTTCGTAGTAGATCTCTACCCGACCATCCTCCGCCGTCGAACCATTAGCCAGGCGGACGTCTCCTTGCAGATAAGGACCTTTAGATGAAAATAACAATGATATTAATAAGAAGAATAATGATGATAATAATCAAATGAATAAATAATGATAATCATATAAATAATGATATTAATAATAATATCAATATGATACCAATACAAAATAATAATGATATAATAATGATTATAATGATCATAACAGTAGGCATATTAATGATGATAATTATGATAATAATAAAACTATTAAGAATAATATTAATAATGATAACAATAATGATAATTAAAAAATAAAAATGATAATAACTACAACAACAACAGCAATAATAATGATAATAATAAAAATAATAAGGATGAAGAAAATAAAAACAATCATTTACTGTTTTGGAATAAAGCACATATATGATGATATTAGTCCTCTATATCCACTTCCAGATAACGTTTGATATTCTAATCCTAGATTTAGCTCCGACAAACGTCGCTCTCAGTGCATTCATTAGGGACTTTTAGATTGAGTGGACGAGAACACGACGAACGCCGACTGATCATGCGTGTCAACGTACTTAACTGCCCATGTTGACTACAATTAGAAATCTTTTAGATTGCACTCGACAATATACATGCATGCAGGAAGTAACACTATGAACATCACGGACAAAGAAAGAGGACAAAATATACAGTTCCTCATTCTACCCTCTCCTCAGCAAAAGAACAACCTTTCACTGCTATTATGTAAAAATGTGTAGAACAGGTGAATATGCATGTGACACCTGTTCTATACATCTTTACATAATAGCAGGGAAGGAATGTTCCTTTGTCTACCTGAGGAACTGTATACTTTATGCGCACGCGGCATACTAGTACATTGAGCATGTAAAGGCGCTGTATAAATATCAATATGTATGTATGTATGTACTAGATTTAGGAAAATCAAGGTTGACGCATTCTCGATCGCCGACTGAGACGACGTAACGCATGCACAGTGCCTTAAAATGACGTCACACGTTGCAGTCAAAGCTGTTGACGTGCAAATCTAAAAGTCCCTAATGAATAAAACCTAAGACGTAGACACGTATTGCACGTGCATGGATTGTAGTAAATGTAGATTATATAATGTCTAGCCAATGGACGTTAAATTGCTGCGACATGGATTCGCCACCAGAGCAACCAATACAAAAGTATTCTCACCACATTCGACTGCCAAAACCATTTCGGTAAAAGAACCTGATTCACCGTAGACGAAACATGCATCTATTCGGTTTTCTGACCCATCGCAACTATGGACTAAACCGAACGTATGAAGAGGTCCATTTCCGCGGTTCATAACAAACCCGCGTACATTTGTGGTGTCTAAGCCCAGCTGTCGACATGCAACCTCTGCTGTGTAATCAATATAGGACCAATATATTTGGTAGATGAAGCCCCACGTGGAATTGTGGTAGATCTCCACCCTTCCCCTGCTCGAGGAGTTACCATCTTCAAGACGTATGTCCCCTTCGGCAGGTTCGGATTCTGTCAAACAGAAATATAAAGATATAAGAGCTACGTCAATAGAATGGGGGTAGATAACTGAAATACATATATATATATATATATATATATATATATGTATATTATGTGTACACTGTTGGTCATAAAGTTGGATAAATTTGTTTTACCCCAACTAATGGAATGATTTTGAAAATGATTTATTCGTAATAGATATAGATAATACCATATGGCATGGCCGTGCAGAGGAATTTTTCCTGTTAGGGACCGGCGAAAAATGTAATGAGTTATTTATAATTTATTGCATTTTCCTTGTTTTTTGATATGTGTGGACTGCCCCTACTCTAGCCCCCGCTGCGTACAAACATGATTCAAAGGCAAAGCGATGGCCTCGTAACTGTGAGGCCCCTGGATCAAAACCGTATGGATGTGCTATATGAGTGCCCTTTTGTGAGGTATTAATCCTCATTACTGTCAGTTATGACCTAAGGGCGTAGCCGGGTCCCCAATTTTAAGGGCACAGTGGCATAAACATGCTTTAGCAGTCACGCAAAACAAACACTCACAAATTATTCAATACAATCTGAGAATGTATACTATTATCTATACCTATTAGGAATAAATTATTGTCAAAATCATTCCATTGATTGGGGTAACAAAAATTATTCCACCTTTATAACCCTACATGTTGCATAAACAGGACATCTATATATATATATATATATCCCTAAATGGTACATTAACAGGACATCAAAAAACTGGTATATTACCCTAACCCTAAGTTCAACAAAATATAACTAATGACTAATGATTAAACCTACTGTTTCTTTGGAGGCCTTTACGTTTCCTCTTCCTGCAAACGTACTTAGAGGGCAGTAATTACGTAAAGTTCTGCTATTGACCATGTCCATTTTATGTAGATACATGTACATAAAATAATTAAATAAATTAAAAATTCCATCGCAATACCTGAACAATTACAATAGTCCCGTCACCCATAGGTAAATATTATTGTATTGTATTAGTTAAGTCTTATTTTGAACGTATTTGCACCAAGATTGTAGAGTAATCATGTACTTTTAAATTGCTACCAGTTGCCTGATGATCGCTCGCAAGGCGTGAAACTCGGAGTTGCAACCATGTTCTGTTAGTCTGCCTTAATCAATATATATATATATATATATATATATATATATATATATATATATATATATATTTATATATGTGTGTGTGTGTGTGTGTGTGCATGTGTGTGTTTATCTTCGTATGTATATGTGTATATTATATCCACTCAATGGCGTATTTTAAGAAACATACGAAAGACGATTATCTAATGCAACACAAAAAATAAACTGATCATCAATTGGCAATAATGCATAACTATTGTCTTTTATCTGTTCTAAAAGATTTAATATCAGAACTGATCAATTGTTAGTATCGGTGGCTTGTCCTGACACAGACATAAAATCAAATAAACATACAAACCAACAAAATGTATATTTCTTTTCTAGAGAGGATATTAATTGGTCCAAAAGAAAGAGGCATACGAGAAAGAGCAATGGCAAATATTCGCCATTTCGCCTCAAAGTTTTCTTGTATCATAAGAATAGAATAGATAATGGACACCTCTCCATCTAATGACCTAACAACCATAAGAAAACTTTTGGCTGTAATATTCTTATATTTCTTTCTTTGATACATTAGTGTGGGTATTATGTATATATATATATATATATATATACATATATATATATATATATATATACATATATATATATATATATATATATATATATATATATATATACATGTATAACCATATAAAAATATGTGTGTATAATGTATATTTATTCATCGACGGATCATCAACTGGACTGAAATAGTATTTCTAAGCAAGCATCATGATATTTCGAAAACATATCAAGATATAATAGACATTGATATTTCAGATTATGTTCAAGCACTGCAGAAAGAAAACAAAAGTTGTAAGATCTTGTTGTGTGAAACAACTGGGATGATAATAATATTGGGAAGTATTAATCACAGCTATTGTAAAATTCATAATCCTATGGCGGTGCATTGTCACGCTTAAGCTAGCTGGTGACATGATATCACAAGAGGCTCAAAAAAATTTGGGGAGATTTTCATGGTCGAGGTGGGGCCGGGGGGGGGGGGGGCTTAGCAGTATGTAGAATAACATGAGTAAGAAGGGGAAAGTATATCATGGTCAATATCAAGATGAATAATAGATACAACTAGTTGAAGATTTATCTACCTATAATAATGTTTGGAAGGCAATTTGGTTGCATCTGCATGTCATTTGACCTTTAGTGAAGCCTTTGCTTGAGCTTATGAAACCGTTATATTCATCTCGTTGCAATCCAGAATGCCACCGTTTCCCCTATTATACTTCCTTCAGCAAATATGACCTCTCAAAAATTTCAGTTGCTTCAAAATATTTAAGTAAAGGATTAAATATACACTAGCACGTGCCGAGAAAAGCCACCGTTTGCTGAAAAAAAAACAATTTCTATATTTTTTCTTACAGTATCTCACAATTTCGCGTCATGGCTATTTATAGCACGACATCATACTGAATCTATAGGCTGTTCATATTTGCCTAACGGTGACATTTCTGCTTGCATGCAGGCGTGACTGGTCATAATACAGGTATATCGTTTGGTATGCAGTAAACCATGGTCCATTCGGATTGAAAAATAAAAGAAGTATATTACAGTCAAACCTGTCGATAGCGACCCCCAAGTGGTCTTTGTAGACAGGTCACTTTAGTACATGTTTCAATGAGAAGTATGCAAGGAAATAAATTATGTGGGCTTTGTAGACAGGTGGTCACTAAAGCAGGTTTCACTGTATATACAAACAAATTTAAGGTTTGTCGTTGAATTTACATTTATTAAACCTCACTTCTTTTCAGTTCCATGAAAATCTTATTCCTCTATTAAAGGAAATTTCCTCTGAAAATGTATAGAAAATCATATCAAATGCTGAAAAAGTACTTGAAATTTGCTAATAAATAATGCACATATTTGTCATAGTATAATTTATATAATTACCCTTGGTATGGAAAAGAGATTAAAGTGATTTAATACATTAAATCAAAACATAACCCAAGAACATATTCTATCAAAAAAAGAATGCAAAAATAAATTTCGTAAAACTGTTTGACATTTTTGTAAACACAGTTAAATATACTCTCCCTGCATTTTGTGGAAAATACCATTTCTGGTAAGTAAAAGGCGCTTCATCAAGTTTCTATTGCAGAAACTGATTATATATGATATATGATAATCATTCAAATGTTCTGCAAATCATTTTTTCAATTAGTGATTATTGTGGCAACGTCTTTAGAAATAAAAATATAATTAATTCATAAAAGAGACGAAATAGAAAATATAGAATAATTGTATTATGCAAAACAGTAAATTAGTTCGTACGAAATGAAAATTTATTTGCGCCCAACATGAACAAATTATTTCAAATAAAATCGAATGTTTCTTTTTCTTTTCTAACAGAAACTCTCGATTTCCCGTCATGGCTATATAAAGCATAAACCATAGGCTATTCATACTTGTCATTCGATGTCATTCTTCACGATTTAAATATTGTATAACTTGCATGTACTTACCACATTGTATTAATCTTGGGACCAAGATTACAAAGGCACAAAAAATCCATAGTTGTATACAGCCCCCCATCATTGCTTTTCCATGAATGGACGCCATATTTTCTTAATACAGGCTTTCTAAAGCTGATATCAAATGATTTGCTGATAGCAGGCTAGACCTTAATTCTGTGTATCACTATTTCAGGGCTATTGAACTATAACTTCTGCCAACAACGTCCACGTTCTGTCGTGATTGTGTCGACCAATATCAACTGTCGAAAAACGATGTTACATTCGATAATTACACAGTCTAAAATTGACCTTTGACCTCTGGATAATCATCCAGTTTCATTTCTCCCTACGTGAATGGCTGACAAAAACAGCGTCGCCAGGAGTGTCAGATCAGCCGCGGTGAAAAGGGAGAGCGCATGCGCAGTGTAGAGCGACTGATTAAATATGTATATATATATTAACATATTGATAAACATTGTGATAATCCGCTTTCCACGGAGCGATGATATATTGCTTGTTATTTGATAACGTGTAATAAGGGTAGAGAAATTCATCTTGACCGTCTTGCAAATGAAAATAATGCCGAAGAGATGTGAAATTTCATTTCCCACTTATTACCAAATAATTAACAAATAATTGACAAAAATCAAATAAAATCAAATGATTTATATTTCTTTTCTAACAGAGTTTCTCAATTTTGCGTCATGGCTATATAAAGCATTTCACCAAACAGAGTCAATAGGTTGGTCGTGTTTGCCTAGTAGTGATATTTCTTTTTTCCATGGAAGGCTGGTTTGTCATTATGCAGGCTGTGTATGGCGTATTGTATGCAGTAAAACGGTGCCCAGTCGGGTGGAAAATGGAAGAAGAATGCTACCAACAACTAAAAAGAAAATAAGACTTGTTGTTAGAATTACAGTTTTTTGAAACTCACTCATTTCCTTTTCACGGAAAATCTTAATAATCTATGGAAATTTTGTCTGAAATATATAGGAATCATATGGGCCTCTTAAAAAAGTACTTCAATTTTGCTAGTAGATAATAAAGAAATGAGTTTATATTATATTTAATTATCATTGTTGTATAAAAAAAAATCAATATATAACTTAAGAACGTGTTCTTTCAAAATGAGAATGAAGTCGCTGTTTTCACGAAGTGACGGTAGTGAAAAAAAATTGCATTCACTTTGCGTTACAATTTTCCTCACTATATATTCACCACAAAGTTTCAACATTTTCATATAGATTACGAGCTTTCCCGGCATTTCGTGGAAAAAATACAATTTCTGGTAAGTCACATATTTCAAAGGCTTTTCCTGTTACTGGCAGTGCATAAATGGTCAGGAACATGGGTGTCGATCCTTACGTAAAACCTATTGTTCAGGGGGGGGGGATGAATGAATAGATCATCCCCCCCCCCTGAACAATAGGTATCAATTACAGATCGACACCCATGGTCAGGAAAGAGATGATTTGAAGGGCTAAAAGATAACTGACTAAATTAATCTTCTTTTTCTAATGTGGCCTCTCTTATGTGTTTTAAAAAAAAATCGATTCCGTAAGTTAAAGTAAACAGACTTCCTTCAATTTGCAGCAGCTTCAATTTAAAAAAAAATTGTATTGCATTTGAAATCACCTTTTCGCCCGAGGAAAATTCCGGATAAGCAACTGGTGACGTTACTTCTAAACTGTATACTCGTAATATAATGTAATAATTATATTCATTATACGGTTGAATAGGCAGATTAGCAGAGTATAAATAAATGTCCAGTACATTCATATATCTTTAATTGCTGATTCCGTAGCTAACAATTAACAATTTACAATTAACACCTACCTCCTGAACCTGTCATTGTACAATGTCATGGCACGGATGGGAAATGACCCCCTAAATCTATTTGATCTGACTTTCGGTAGCCGGACACGTCCTGATTTGTAGTCATTCATATGGCATACAACATCAACATATTTAGCGATTGATGTGGCAACTTTTTCAGGAATACAGCAGTATTTCTACATTCTATTTGTTTATTTCCATTCAAAAAAAAAAAAAAAAATCATAATTGACATAAAACAGAGTTTTAAATTGATAAAAGAGACAGAATAGAAATAAAGAAAAAAGGTTATTATGCAAAACAGTACATTTATTTACAAGAGAAAAAATGTATCGGTCCCAAGTTGAAAGATAATTTCAAATCAAATCAAATCAGATCGAATGATTTATATTTCTTTTCAAACAGAGTCTCTCAATTTCTCGTCATGGCTATATAAAGCAAGCCATCATACAGAGTCAATAGGTTGGTCATGTTTGCCTATGGGTGACATTTCATTTTTCATGGAGGGGTGATTTGTCATATGCAGGTATGCCGTATTGTATGCAGTAGAATGGTGTCCAGTAGAGTTGAAAATGAAAGAAGAATACTGCAAATAAATTCAAGACTTGTCGTTGATTTTAAATTTTTTTAACCGCATTCCATTTCTGTTCAATGACAATCTTAATAAGCAATGGAAATTTCCTCTAGAAGTTTATTCAAAAATTCATATCCGCTGCTGAAAAGGTTCTTCAAATTTGCTAGAAAATAATACCAACAATTTATGTATTATGATTTATTTAATTATCCTTGATATGGAAAAAAAAGATTAACTTAAATCAATATATTCATTCAAACATAACTTGAGAACATGTTATACCATAAAAAAGAATGCATAAATACATTCATCACAAAGTTTCGTTAAAATTTCAACATTTTCATTAACGCGAATTACGTAATTTCACTCATTGATTTCGTTTAAAATTCAGTTTCTTGTAAGTCGTATATTTCAAATGCCTTTCCTGTTACAGGTGGGGCATAACATTGATCAAGAACAGTCTAATTTTAAGAGGTTATAGGTTCCTGATAATAATAATCTTTCATATTCTAGCTCAAAGAGTGTGCGTAAGCTATACATATTTTGTTAACTTGATGGAAATGACACTGAGAGAAAGAGAGAGAGACACACACACACACACACAAAAAAAAAAAGGGGATAGGGAGAGCTTCGATACTCGTAACTATGTTTCGCAAAGTTTCACAATGATAATTATGTATAATATAAACTAATTTCTTTATTATCTGCTAGCAAAATTGAAGTACTTTTTTAAGACGCTCATATGATTCCTATATATTTCAGACGAAATTTCCATAGATTATAAAGATTTTCCGTGAAAAGGAAATGAGTGAGTTTCAAAAAACTGTAATTCTAACAACAAGTCTTATTTTCTTTTTAGTTGTTGGTAGCATTCTTCTTCCATTTTCCACCCGACTGGGCACCGTTTTACTGCATACAATACGCCATACACAGCCTGCATAATGACAAACCAGCCTTCCATGGAAAAAAGAAATATCACTACTAGGCAAACACGACCAACCTATTGACTCTGTTTGGTGAAATGCTTTATATAGCCATGACGCAAACTTGAGAAACTCTGTTAGAAAAGAAATATAAATCATTTGATTTTATTTGATTTTTGTCAATTATTTGTTAATTATTTGGTAATAAGTGGGAAATGAAATTTCACGTCTCTTCGGCATTATTTTCATTTGCAAGATGGTCAAGATGAATTTCTCTACCCTTATTACACGTTATCAAATAACAAGCAATATAACATCGCTCCGTGGAAAGCGGTGTATCACAATGTTTATCAATATGTTAATATACATACATATCTAATCAGTCGCTCTACACTGCGCATGCGCTCTCCCTTTTCACCGCGGCTGATCTGACCCTCCTGGCGACGCTGTTCTCGACAGCCATTCACGTAGGGAGAAATGAAACTGGATGATTATCCAGAGGTCAAAGGTCAAATTTAGACTGTAATTATCGAAGGTAACATCATTTTACGAGGAAAGATATTGGTTGACATAATCACGACAGAACGTGGACGTTGTTGGCAGAATTTATAGTTCAATACCCCTGAAATAGTGATACACAGAATTAAGGTCTATAGCCTGCTATCAGCAAATCATTTGATATCAGCTTTAGAAAGCCTGTATTAAGAAAATATGGCGTCCATTCATGGAAAAGCAATGATAGGGGGCTGTATACAACTATGGATTTTGTGTGTCTTTGTAATCGTGGTCCCAAGATTAATACAATGTGGTAAGTACATGCGAGTTATACAATATTTAAATTGTGAAGAAACGTCAAATGACAAGAATGAATAGCCTATGGTTTATGCTTTAAATAGCCATGATGCGAAATTGAGAGTCTCTGTTAGAAATAAAAAAGAAACATTCGATTTTATTTGAATTGAAATCATTTTTTTCATGTTGGGCGCAAATAAATTTTCATTTCGAACGAATAAATTTACTGTTTTGCATAATACAATTATTCTATATTTTTTATTTCGTCTCTTTTATGAATTAATTATATTTTTATTTCTAAAGACGTTGTCACAATAATCACTAATTGAAAAAATAATTTGCAGAACATTTGAATGATTATTAAATATCATATATAATTAGTTGCTGCAATAGAAACTTGATGAAGCGCCTTTTACTTACCAGAAATGGTATTTTCCACAAAATGCAGGGAGAGTATATATAACCGTGTTTACAAAAATGTCAAACAGTTTTACGAAATTTATTTTTGCATTCTTTTTTTTATAGAATATTTTCTTGGGTTATGTTTTGATTTAATGTATTAAATCACATTAATCTCTTTTCCATACCAAGGGTAATTATATAAATTATACTATGACAAATATGTGCATTATTTATTAGCAAATTTCAAGTACTTTTTCAGCATTTGATATGATTTTCTATACATTTTCAGAGGAAATTTCCTTTAATAGAGGATTAAGATTTTCATGGAACTGAAAAGAAGTGAGATTTAACAAATGTAAATTCAACGACAAGTCTTATATCAAATTTATTTGTAAATACAGTGAAACCTGCTTTAGTGACCACCTGTCTACAAAATACCACTTTTTGTGTTTCCCTTGGGGGTCGCTATCGACAGGTTTGACTGTAATATACTTCTTTCATTTTTCAATCCGAATGGACCATGTTTTACTGCATACCAAACGATATACTTGTATTATAACCAATCACCCCTGCATGCAAGCAGAAATGTCACCGTTAGGCAAATATGAACAGCCTATAGATTCAGTATGGTGTCGTGCTATAAATAGCCATGACGCGAAATTGTGAGACACTGTTAGAAAAAATATAGAAACAAAAAATGTTAGCAAACGGTGGCACGTGCTAGTGTATATTTAATCCTTTACTTAAATATTTTTAAGCACGGAAAATTTAGAGAGGTCATATTTTCTGAAGGAATTATAATAGGGGAAACGTTGGCATTCTGGATTGCAACTGGTTGAATATAACAGTTTCATAAGATCTAGCCGAGGCTTCATTAAAAGTCAAATGACATGCAAATGCAACCGAATTGTCTTCCACACATTAATATAGGTAGATACATCAACACACCTTCAACTAGTTGTATCTATTATTCATCTTAATATTTATTATGATATACTTTCCCCTTCTTACTCATGTTATTCTACATACTGCTAACCCCCCCCCCCCCCCCCGGCCCTACCTCGACCATGAAAATCTCCCCAAATTCTTTTGAGCCTCTTGTGATATCCTGTCACCAGCTAAATTAAGCGTAACAATTCACCGCTACAGGATTATGAATTTTACACTAGCTTTGATGATACTTCCCAATATTATTATCATCCCAGCTCTTTCACACAACAAGACCTCACAACTTTTTTTCTTCTTCTTTCTGCATTGCTTTAACATAATCTGAAATATCAATGGCTATTATATCTTGATATGTTTTCACAGATATCATGATGCTTGTTTAGATATAATATATCAGTCCAGTTGATGATCCGTCGATGAATAAATATTCATATACACACATAATGTATGGTTATACATCTATATAAAACATTATACATGTATACATAATACCCACACTAATGTATCAAAGAAAGAAATATAAGAATATTACAGCCAAACATTTTCTTATGGTTGTAAGGTCATTAGGTGGAGAGGTGTCCATTATTTATTCTATTCTTATGATACAGGAAAACTTTGAGGCGAAATAGCGAATATTTGCCATTCCTCTTTCTCGTATATGCCTCTTTCTTTTGGACCAATTAATATCCTCTCTAGAATAGAAATATACATTTTGTTGGTTTGTATGTTTATTTGATTTTATGTCTGTGTCAGGACAAGCCACCGATACTTACAATTGATCAGTTCTGCTATCCAATCGTTTAGAACAGATAAAAGACAATAGTAATGCATTATTGCCAATTGATGATCAGTTTATTTTTGTGTTGCATCACATATAATCGTCTTTCGTATGTTTCTTAAAATACGCCATTGAGTTGATATATTATACACATATACATACGAAGATAAACACACACACACACACACACACGCACACACACACACATATATATAAATTTATATATATATATATATATATATATATATATACATGTACATCTTCCAGCGTCATATGACGGACAAATGTAGTGACAAACTGAAACATGGTCAATAGCAGATCTTTACGTAATTACTGCCCTCTAAGTACGTTTGCAGGAAGAGGAAGCGTAAAGGCCTCCAAAGAAACAATAGATTTAATCATTAGTCATTAGTTATATTTGTTTTAACTTAGGGTTAGGGTTAGGTTAATATACCAGTTTGTTGATGTCCTAGCTGTTAATGTACCATTTAGGGATATATATATATAGAGTCCTGTTTATACAAAATGTAGGTTTGTATAAACACTGTTGGTCATAAAGGTGGAATAATTTTTGTTACCCCAATCAATGGAATGATTTTGAAAACAATTTATTCCTAATAGGTATAGATAATAGTATACATACTAAGATTGTATTGAATAATAATTTGAGAGTGTTTGTTTTTGCGTGACTGCTAAAGCATGTATATGCCACTATGCTCATCAGATAGGGGACCCGGCTACGCCCGTAGGTCATAACTGACAGTAATAAGGATTAATGCCTTACAAAAGGGCACTAATATAGCACATCCATACGGTTTATATCCAGGGCCTCACAGTTACGAGGCCTTCGCTTTGCCTTTGAATCATGTTAGTAGGCAGCGGGGGCTAGAGTAGGGGCAGCCCCACAAATAAAATTTTAAAAAAGAAAATGCAATAAATTATAAATAACTCATTACATTTTCCGCCGGTCCCTAACAGGAAAAATTCCTCTGCACGGACATTCATTATCTATTAGGAATAAATCTTCGTCAAAATCATTCCATTAGTTGGGGTAAAACAAAAATTATGGCCACCTTTATGACCAACAGTGTACATATATATATATATATATATATATATATATATATATATATATATATATATATATATGTATTACTGTTATCTTCACCATTCTTTTTACGTAGCTCTTATATCTTTACATTTCTGTTTGACAGAATCCGAACCTGCCGAAGGGGACATACGTCTTGAAGATGGTAGCCCCTCCAGCGGGGGAAGGTTAGAGATCTACCACAATTCCGAGTGGGGCTTCATCTGCCATTTGTATTGGTCCTTACTTGATTACACGGCAGAAGTTGCATGTCGACAGCTGGGCTTAGACACCACACATGTACGCGGGTTTGTTATGAGCCGCGGAAATGGACCTCTTCATACGTTCGGTTTAGTCTATAATTGCAATGGGAAAGAAAACCGAATAGATGCATGTCCCGTCCTTGGTGCACCAATTTGTGTTTCTGAAACGGATTTGGCAGTGGAATGTGGTAAGAATTGTTGTTGTTGTTGCTCTGGTGGCGAATCCATGACGCAGAAATTTAACGTCCATTGGCTAGACATTATTTAATCTACATAATCTATTCACGTGTAGTACGTGTCTACAACTTAGGTTTTATTAATTGAATGCACTGAAAGCTACGGTTGCCAGAGCTAAATGTAGGATTAGAATGTCAAAGGTTATCTGGAAGTGGATATAGATTATGTGCCATATTCCAAAACAGTAAATGATTGTTTTTATTTTCTTTATCCTTATTTTTTAAATTATTTTTATTATTATTATTATTATTGCTGTTGTTGCTGTAGTTATTATCATTTTAATTTTTTAATTATCATTATTGTTATCATTATTAATATTATTCTTAGTAGTTGTATTATTATCATTATTATCATCATTAATAGGCCTACTGTTATTATCATTATTATATCATTATTATTTTTTATTGATATTATTATTGATATTTTACTAAAGGCGTCATTATAGGGACATTTTGAGTGGAAAAAAAATGAGTCATTAAGTAGACATTGTCATTTGGAGGACAACTTTTTACGTTTTATTTCTCATAGAAGGCCCAATTTGTTTATATTTCTCTATATATATGTAATTTCACTGAAGGCGTTATTAGGGGGATATTTGGAGTGAAAAAATGAGTATATAACCCTACATGGTACATTGATAATGTACCTTATAGGGTTATATATATTATTATTAATATCATTATTTATATTATTTTATCATTATTATTCTTGTTATTTTTATCATTTATTCATTATTTTCATCTAAAGGTCCTCATGTTCAAGGAGACGTCCGCCTGGCGAATGGATCGACGGCGGACGACGGTCGGGTAGAGATCTACTACGAAGAGGAATGGGGGACAGTCTGTGATGATGGTTGGGACAACGATGACGCTGCAGTTATATGTAAACAGCTACGAAACTACCAACATGGCGCCGAGGCTATAAATGGGGGTGCATATCCTCAAGGAACTGGTCCGATACACCTTGGTAATGTCCAATGTGAAGGTACTGAAAGCAAACTTGGAGATTGCAGCAGTGGCGGATGGCGTAACAACACGTGTGGCCATGATCGAGATGCCGGAGTGGTTTGCCCACGTAAGTGTGTTTAAAAACTCAGTCATAAGACGAGATCGACACCACACCGTCAACAGACCGAGCAAAACATTACCCCCAAATGACCAAGAATCTCTCGCGTTTTGGGTCGGTGTGGAGTCGATTTGGCGGTGTGACGGCCTGACGGGGGTACTCAGACCCCTGACTTATAGGCATCGGTTTATATACCTCCGTGCCTCTGACAAGCATTTTTACCGATCATGCAAGATAAAGAGTTGGTTCTCCTATCGATCCCCAAAATAGGGTAAAAGTTGCCCATTATTGCGTTTTTAAAATGGAATATGTTTGTTTTGGTAAAAGAAATACCTTATTTTGAGTATAACGTACTCCACATTCGTTAAACGTTTATCACTATTGGTTGAGATCATGTTTACTCAAGAAAAATGTAAGTTCTCTTCTAATACAATATTTTTTTTTTTTTTTCAAATGATATTTTGTTATATATATATATAACCCTACATGGTACATTAAGCGGACATCATAAAAATCCTAACCCTAACCCTAACCCTAACCCTAACCCTAAACCTAAACCTAACCCTAACCCTAACCCTAATCCTTACCCTAACCCTAATGTCTACTTAATGACTCATTTTTTCACTCCAAATGTCCCTCCAATGACACCTTTAGTGAAATTACATATATAGAGAGAGATATTTAAACAAATTGGGCCTTCTATCAGAAATAAAACGTAAAAAACGTTAAGAGGACACCATATTGTCCTTCTAATGACAATGTCTACTTAATGACTCATTTTTTCACTCCAAATGTCCCTCTAATGACGCCTTTAGTAAAATATATGTATATATATATATACAAATACATATAGGATGACGAAACCACAATAACAACGAAAGAACAGCCATTGGGCTGAGGTAGGGTCCGTACGTGCTCAAATAAAATACATGAAAATAAATAAATAATGTTGTAACATAATTGTGTCAAAACTAAACATGTTTCATCATTTCCACCTAATAATGCCCGGATGTAAGGTCTCTTGATTTATTTAAGAGTAGATTAAAGTTACATCTTTTCTCATCCTACTATACTGATAGCCTTATCATGGTATAATATACTCAACTATATTGTAATTACTTGAATGCGATGTTTGTTAATGTTATGTAATTCATTGTAAAGTATTTTACTATCTTATAATATTTGAATTAAATATTTTCTGCATGTGTAAAAAGTAATCTAAAATAGTTATGTCTTATCATTGAACCTTATATGAAGCTCATTTAGTTACTGCGCTAAGAGCAAATTGAGGGAAAACGGACCATCATAATTATCGTTGTTGTTGTTTTTGTTATTAATATTATTGATACCATTATTTGATCCACCTTTAAAGCTGCCTTCGAAGGTGATATCCGGCTTGTTGGTGGTCACAGGCTAATGGAGGGACGGGTGGAGTACTACCATGAAGACCAGTGGGGTACCGTCTGTGATGACCTTTGGGATGACCACGACGCTTGGGTTGTGTGCCGCCAGTTGGGGTACAAACCACTTGATGGACATAGATTCGGAGGAGCATATTTTGGACGAGGATCTGGCCAAATACACCTGGATGGCGTCCAGTGTTCGGGCAGTGAGGTCAGACTAGAATCCTGTCGCAGTAACGGTTTGGGCAGCCACGACTGTGACCATTCCGAAGATGCCGGAGTACGATGCTTTTGTAAGTCTTATGTCATAATAATAATAACTCCGCTTTTATATAGCGCTTAATACATCAATGACGTCTCTATTAAGTGCTTTACAGGTATATTATTACCCCGGTCATTGGATTCAATACTTGCCCGCACACAATGTGTGCACAATCTCCACTCCCTGGGGAGCATTCCAGCCAGGCGTAAATTAACGCTCAAAACTGTTTGACCAACAATGACGGTCGTATCCTACCGGGTACCCATTTAACACCTGGGTAGAGAGTAGCAAGTGCAGGTTAATATCTTGCCAAAGGATATTAGTGCCGTGTCGGGACTCGAACCCTCGACCGTTGAATCTCCAGTCAAGCATCCTACCGGGTACCCATTTAACAAGCGCTATATAAAAGCTATATAAGAGCTTGGGTAAAACCGCGGGGAGGGGGTGGGGGAGTCTAATATTTTTATGTACCTAACCACGCCCGACCAAAACAAAACGGGATAGAAGGGCAGTTTTGGTTGGTATTAGGTGCTTGACACGCGTGACGCGCGTGAAGTAGTAACGGTGTCAAAAAGGCCAAGAATCAAGAAAAACCGTATATAAACTGAGCTTTTTACCAAATGCATTAAGGGTTACTGTACCTTTTTCCTATCACTGGCATGGCCTTCGTGCAGCCTCGAATCGCGCGAATCTGTTTTGAAAACGAAATGAAAGAGACAAAACAGGAACATCACAAGGTAGACCTTGTTAAGGAAATAGGTTATGTGTTCGAGGGGAGCTAGCTCGTAAACTAGCTTGAAAATCTATGGGGGAAATGTGAGGGGGAAGCTCGGAACGGGTGTGATTCTGACATTTAGATAACATCTGTTTAAGGGGGGTAGAGGAGCCAGTTTTCACACGTGTGTACATTAAAATATTCTAATTGGCCCCAGGGGTAGAACCGTTTAATTTGGTTGTTGTTTCGATTCCTCAACAGTGAATATTATTGATATCATTTAAAACACTAGGGTAGAATTGGTATTCGCATACTCTATGATTTTAGTAAAATATTTATCTCACCTTTCTCTCGTATCTTCTCTTGCTTTCTGTCTATATTTTTCGTCAACTCTATTATCATTTCTATCTTATCTCCATTCCTTCTTTGTCTACCCTCTATTTCTTCTGTATAATTATTATAATCACCATAATTATTATTATCATCATAATCATTTTCTCCACTATCACCATCACCATCATCATGAGGATCACATTAACCACTGAACTATATTTGTCGTTAATAGAAGGCCTATCTTCGTAAATGAACCGTGTGGCCTCTCCTATTGTTTTTAAATCTTAGGATCTACCCCACCCCTATTGAATAGTATTACCATAATGAATATTGTAGCATCTGTCATCGTTAAATTTAGAATCGTTATGCGATTCCGGTATTTCGCAATAGTTTTAGAATATTTAAAGAAGAGAAAACAAATTAGAAAAAGAAACATTTGTCGTATCCATCATTCATCCTTGTTTCTTCTTTCATTGTATAAATTTCAAAAGTGCCTGATGACGGAGATGTTCGTTTGCAAGATGGTCCATTGATAAACGAAGGTCGTGTAGAGGTCTTCTACCAAGGGAGGTGGGGTAGTGTCTGTGCCTCGAACTGGAGTGCCTCTGAAGCCTGGGTTGTATGTCAACAGCTGGGGTATAAGCCACATACTGGATTTGCTATCAGCGGTGCAATATACGGACCCGGTCTTGGTCCAATACACCTTGATAATATTGGTTGTGTAGGCCAGGAATATAAACTAGATGACTGCGGTAAAAGCATCAACGCAGTGGGCAACGACAGTTGTGAGGATAACGGATATGCCGCAGTTCATTGCCCGGCGGGTAAGTTGAAATCCTAAAGCCCCCATCACACCAAACTAGTTCTTACTATACGTTCTCAAAAATGTTGCCAAACGGGCTCAAACTGTGTGCGAACTGAGCTGAACGTAATAGCAAATGTTTACGATCTGTTTAAGGCCCGGCCCCCCACTCAGTGTTATTTAGGGTACGCATATGCTCGTACCCTCTTTTTGAAAGCACCCCCTATCTGAGGACTGCCAACATTTCCGAACCCCCCTATCGCGGGCTTTTTGCGGGCTTTTCCTGCCTTGGAGACCCCCTTAAATCAGGAAAAATGCTCATTGTACCCCCCTAAATTCGGAATAATTTCTCAGGAGTCCAAAGAGATGAGAGAAAAAAAGAAAAACACCCCCTTTTTAAAGAAATCTCCGGGTGAAAAGTCAAATACACCCCTTTTTTTTTTACAATTCTCGGGCCGGACTTTGTCGCACGAAAAGTACCCCTTTACCGGACATTTTGGCAACACGCATGCGGTCATTTCGACCTCTGAGTGGGGGGGGGGGGGGGGGGGGTTTTAAGGACTTCATGGCGGGCTCGGACTGAACCAATGTCTATAATACGATCCTAGCTCGTTAATTTACGGTCCACAATAAGTCCAACTCGTCTGTACCCCGTCCACAGTAAGTTATCAAGTTCAGATCGGGTAAATTTGACATTTCCAAACAGTCCAAACCATTCTTACTAGTTTGCAACTTGTTCGAAATAGTTTATAACCCAACCACCCCATTCAGCTGAGACAGTTCAACCTGTCATCATCTCGTTGTTAGTGCGTTCAAACGTGCTCCTATCGTGCTTGTGCAATCCCATACTGGTCTCATACTCGACCACACCACGGTGCAACACGTTCCTAGTAGGATCGAAGTATATCGATTTCGTTCATAGTACGGCGATTCCGTTCATAGTACGTCCATCTTGTTTTAAGCACGTTATCACTCCGTCTAATTGCAGGACGGGGAGTCACCCAGTAAGTTGGCGCAAGTGAAATCTGGCAATGTTGTAAAGATTGTCTGATGTTCAGTCATGCGTGAACGGATTAAAATGAAAATGGTACCTAAATGTACTGGGAGGATAACTCTATCAACACATATCATTAAACCCCTAATTAAATATTCATACTTCAAACAATACGACTTTTAAAAAGTGGGACATTCTTTCTGACTCACCCTGTATATCTAACGTATTTTAACAAATTTCCATGTATTCCTGTGAATTTGGAGGAACAAAAAGAATTGAATTGAATTGCGAGGACCTGGAACAATTTCATTTTACACGCAATGTGTTCAGTTAAACTAGTTTGTGTTTACACTGTTTGTATTTGGAGCATTTTCATCATACATGTACATGTCCAGTGAGCAACATTTGTGTTCACAATACAGACATTATATACATATGGTGGCACACTAATACCTCAGGGAGAATTCCAAGAGAATGCACCACACCGATTTGGAAAGGTGTCATAGTATAAACAATGTGCACACTATAGTCTTAGCCGACTTTATTCCAAGGCCTATGCTATTGCCACAGTGACAGAGTCAGACAATTGTTTAGCCCCTGAGACGGCTGCTGTCCCCATTTGTATATCCTATAGTAATTCGGAAAGTCGTCAGAGTATTGATAGTTTGCACGCACTAGGCTGATAGGTCCAATTATTATGCTATTTCCACAATGCCTGAGTACTGTTCCCCAGCCATCCCCACCCCAACCGATATTACTAGGGGCGGATCCAGCCGGCGGCAGGGGAGTTTTTTTCGTTTTTTTGCTCCGGAAAAATTGAAAATTGCGTCGGCCGATAATTCGCTCAGTGAGAGGGGGGGGGGAGGGGCTTGGGGTAGTGAGCACTAATTTGTTTAATTTTATTTTGGCCCTCGACAATTTGAAAAAATCGCACCCCCCCCCCCCCTTGATTGCCAGGGGAGGGGCCCATCTCCAAAAAAGTTAAAATTAACGTGTTTTTAACTGTATTTTCCCCAGAGGAGGGCCCCCGGCCCCCCATCCCTGGACACGCCACTGGATGTTACCCCCCCCCCCCCTTCCTCATTTGGAATTATACTAGTGTCTATGTTATATTTGTTTAAAGAACTTGAAGACGGGGATGTTCGCCTGGTCAATGGTTCCAGTCCAAACGAGGGTCGGGTTGAGATCTACCACTCTGGTACATGGGGAACCGTATGTGACGATGACTGGAGCTACCCAGATACCCAGGTACTTTGCCGGCAGTTGGGCTATGAAACAAAGGGTGCAATGGCTACCTACCGCGCTAAATACGGACAAGGATCTGGCCAAATACATCTTGCTAATGTCAGGTGTACCGGTTTAGAAGCTCGACTGGATGAATGCAGCAGTAATGGATGGGGCATCTGTCTAAACAATGAAGCTGTTGGTGTTATCTGCACTGGTAAGTTCAAAGATGAAATATGGTCTTTACCATTATTTTCAAATGTCTCCCTTACTTTAATTTGTATCTCATTTCTATGACGATCACCTCGCGTCTATCACTGTAGCAACAGCTTTAATGACTCTTTGTCCTGGAATGTGTCGTTTATTTCGCTTTAGATTAAGTTCGAAATAAAACAGGACCACACATCTTTAAAAATCAAGCTTCATGTTCATACATATAACATATATAACATATATAACAAGACGTTGTGTGCCCGGACAGGTTGTCTATCTGGATAGTCGGTTTAAAATCTTGAAAACTATAATTTAAAGAACTTTACCTTGATTATTTTTTAATTATTTTGAGACTTTGTTAGGCAATATAATAAAGGATGAATATTTATGAGGGTTAGTGCTGTTTGATGCAAACATTTCATTAAATCCAAAGTCAAATGTGATACCTTTATTATTGTTAAGCGTCGGGACATGACCCCTACCATACTATTTCTCGTCGTTTATGTAAACATGTACCTTCTGTGATACTTTCCTCAAAGCATAAATAGGTCGATTTACAATCCTTAAAAGACATCTAAACAAATTACAGTTAGAACAGTTTTCAGAAAACCAAAACGTTGTTAACTATCATGCTTTGCAGGTTATGCTAAGAATATGCGTATATGAGCTTCGTCTTCCCGCCAAAAATTATGTTAACACAGTTCTAAACTTTACATAGTTTATAATAGTGAATATGTTTAATACTTTACATACTTTTCCCGCTAACATCGATCGTGTTCAGCATACCCACCTGATAACTTTTTTGTTATTTCATCATTTGCATTTTCAAAATGACATTTGGTTAATATTTGGTCGATCCTGTTGTTTGATTTAAAGTTCCCAACGAAGGGGATGTTCGTCTCGCTGATGGCCCCACGAAAAACCAAGGTCGGGTGGAGATCTATAATAATAACCAATGGGGCATTATCTGCAATCGTAGTTCTTGGGGTGCTACAGAAGCGACGGCTGTTTGTCGACAGCTGGGATTATACCAAAATGACAGTGGCAGTGTTCTATTCGGGACTGTGGACGACTGGAGTGGTGGTCCAATAGACTCTACAGGCGTTTACTGCAGCGGCACGGAAAGCAGGTTGGATGAATGCAGGAGCAGCAACGACGGCAGCGTCAATTGTGACCCCAGTGATGTGGCTGGAGCTCGTTGCATTAGTAAGTTTGCAGTAATATTAATAATGATAATGATCTGGATTTATATAGCGATTAAAACGAAATACCTAGAGCTTTACAGATATCATTACCCCCGGTCATCGGATTAATTCACAAACAATGTGCACCATCACCACTCCCTGTGGAGTATTCCTACCATATGGTCACCCTGAGGGCATGTGGAATTTCTAACATAAATGCTTTCGTCATCCTACCAGATCCCTTCCTCTATCCTGGGTATGGAGTGGCAAATGTAGATTGATGCCTTGCCACAGGACAAATTGCCGTGTTGGTACTCGAACCCCCGACTTTTGCATTTCCCGTCTAGTGCTTTTAACCACTCGACAACGACACCTCTATGCATCAGGTCCGGCAGCGAATATTTCATTGTAGGCGGGCAAGTGAAGACCGTGTATTAGGCCTTTGCAACGAAATGTCGACCACCTCATAGTCATTCATGCTTAACATAATCATATATCAATGTTAATCAGAAACATTATTGTTTGTACTAAAAAACGTAATTTAGGATCTGAGTTAGGGTTCGCATTTAGAGTTAAGGTAAGCATTTTGGATTATGTCTCGATCGGGCATCCGAGTTAAACATCAAAAGACTAACAATGCAAAGTATGTATACGCGGTGTAAATATTGAAATTCATGTGAGCGTTCTTTCATTTGCTTCATGCAAAGATATTCAGGCATATAAATGCATAAAAGCGCAATCTCTAGTCACCGTAAAGCAGGGTTCGATGGCCTAGCTAGCTCATTAAGGTTTCGGATTTGTCCGGCTATCTACTTTACGCGGACGAGTGACTTAACGATCTCCACAAGACAACTCAGGGCGTAGCCGTCATTATTTGTGGGACCTAGCTGGCCTATTGTTCATTGTACGTGGCATGAATAATATTAAATTGAAAAACGTAACTTATGGAATAACGGGCTTAAGTCAGTATGACGCGGTAAATGCTTGTTCAGAAAAAACCGCCGCAAACATTTTTTTTTTGTACCTGTAAAATTCGGGTCAAATTAATGGCAACTCCGCGTATGCACTGAGATCTATGTTAAAACATTCAGTAATGTGAAGCGTATTACACTTAACGTTTCCACAAAAAGCGCCGCGGTTTTGCCGCGTTACATCTGAACGAGCCGTTTAAAACAAGCAACATTTATCCACAGGAATGATTTATGTGTCACTCTGTATTTCTCAATGTAAGTCCGACGTTATTTGTTTTTGTGACGAAGGTTCCCTTGAAGGAGCTGTCCGTCTTGTAGACGGTTCTAGTCCAGACGAAGGCCGGGTCGAGATCTTCCATGATGACCAATGGGGTACAGTCTGTGATAGAGGCTGGGATGACAATGACGCGAGGGTAGTCTGTCGGCAGCTCGGGTATACAGGCATTACAGGGGATATTGGGGTGGCTAGGACTGGTGGTACATACGGCGCTGGATCAGGACCGAAATACATTACTAATGTCAGATGCAATTCCTATGATGACAGGTTAGAGGACTGCACGCATAACGGATGGGGTGTCACCTATTCGTATTGCCAAAGAGGATATGCCGATGCTGGAGTGCAATGCTTTCGTAAGTAGAAAGAAACTAACAATCATAATATATACAGCATGCGTCAAGTCCTGTTCAGATGTTATGCCGCGGTAAAAAACAAAATTTGAGTTTTGGCTACCAATTTATCTCACCTTGGTCGAGTTTGGCAAATGTAGATAAATGAATGGTAACTGCACGTGCGCAACATAGGACTTGCGCGTATTAATAGTGAGCTTCTTTTTTTTCTATATGATTTTTATTATTTAATTCCTTCGCGTGGCTTTAGATGAGATACACAAGAAGGATGAAATACGGAAACAATTAAAGTGTAAAGAGATCATGTGATATATAAAGTGCAGATTGGCTCGGCCATGGTCAAAAATGGAAACAAAAGCTGGCTGCTTGTTGGGATGACGCCACAAAGATTCAGACTAAGATTCAGAAATCATTGAGGCCATTATCTAAACGAGAATTAAGATGATTTAAGTAAAAAATTTATCTCGCCTTTCTCTCGTATCTTCTCTGTCTATATTTTTCGTCAACTCTATTTCATTTCTATTTTATCTCCTCATTCTTTTTCTACCCTCTATTTCTTCTGTATAATTATTATAATCACCATAATTATTATTATCATCATCATAATCATTATCTCCACCATCACCACCACCATCATCATGATAATCATAACCACTGAACTATATTTGACGTTTTCTCCTCGCTACATAATTTGTCGTTAATAGAAGGCCTATCTTCATAAATGAACCGTGTGGCCTTTCCTATTGTTTTTAAATTTTAGGATCTACCCCCACTCCTATTGAATAGCATTACCATAATGAATATTGTAGCATCTGCCATCGTTAAATTTAGAATCGTTATGCGATTCCAGTATTTCGCAATAGTTTTAGAATATTTTAAGAAGAGAAAAAAATTAGAAAAAGAAACATTTGTCATATTCATCCTTGGTTCTTCTTTCATTGTATTAATTTCAAAAGTGCCTGATGACGGAGATGTTCGTTTGCAAGATGGTCCATTGATAAACGAAGGTCGTGTAGAGGTCTTTTACCAAGGTAGATGGGGTAGTGTCTGTGCCCCGAACTGGAGTGCCTCTGAAGCCTGGGTTGTATGTCAACAGCTGGGGTATAAGCCACATACTGGATTTGCTATCAGCGGTGCAACATACGGACCCGGTCTTGGTCCAATACACCTTGATAATATTGGTTGTGTAGGCCAGGAATATAAGCTAGATGACTGCGGTAAAAGCATCAATGCAGTGGGCAACGACAGTTGTAAGAATAACGGATATGCCGCAGTTCATTGCCCGGCGGGTAAGTTGAAATCCTAAAGCCCCCATCACACCAAACTAGTTCTCACTACGTTCTCGAAAATGTTGCCAAACGGGCTCAAACTGAGCTGAACGTAATAGCAACTGTTTACGATCTGTTTTAGGACTTCATGGCGGGCTCGGACTGGACCAATGTCTCTAAGACGATCCTAGTTCGTTCATTTACGGTCCACAATACGTCCAACTCGTCTGTACCCCGTCCACAGTAAGTTGATATCAAGTTCAGATCGGGTAAATTTGACATTTCCAAACAGTCCAAACCATTCTTACTAGTTTGCAACTTGCTCTAACTAGTTTATAACCCAACGACCCATTTCAGACAGTTCAACTTCTCCTCATCTCGTTGTTAGTGCGTTCAAACGCGCTCCTATCGTGCGTGTGCAATCCCGTCCTGGTGCTCGACCACACCACGGTGTCACACATTCCTAGTAGGATCGAAGTACGACTATTCCATTTAGCGTACGGCAATTCCGTTCGTAGTACGTCCATCTCGTTTTAAGTACGTTGTCACTCCGTCTAATTGCAGTTCTAAAGCACCCTTCCCGTCCAAGCCAGTCCGAACCCGTCCATGAAGTTGTCAACAAGATCGTAAATAGTTGCTTATACGTTCACCCCGTTCACTCCGTTCATCCACAGTTTGAGCCCGTTTGGCGACTTTTTTCAGAACGTACTGAGAACTACTTTGGTGTGATGGGGGCTTCACTTGAATGTCTTGATATGCAAAGCTTGAAGCGTTGAAAATGAACCAGAATTAGGAATGGCGAGAACGCGCTAGGTTTTTATAGCTCCCGAGTCAGGACGAGATTGCACACGCTCTAGGAGTGCGTTCGAGCGCACTAAAAACGAGATGAGGACGAGTTGATCTGTCTTTGAACGGGGTGGTCGGATTAATATCTGGTTAGAACAAGTGGCAAACTAGTCAGAATGGTTTAGACCAGGCCTTCTCAACTGGCGGTGCGCGCGCCACTTGTGGCGCATGCGGTCAGTTGGAGTGGCGCGCGGCTGTTCCAAAAAATTAATAAAATAATTAATGAAAATTTAAATTCAAAATTAAAGAAAGAAAAATCAAAAAACTATATTTTAAAATTAAAAAAAATCAGCAAAATCAAAAAGTCGCAGTCGAAGTAGAGTCCAAAATGTAACCAAGCCATTTTGTTTGTTTGATTTTCACTTGATTTTGACATTTTCCGTCTTTATTGCACCACATTAACTACATATTAATTTACTTCCATTTACCCAGGAATTGTACTAATTATTTCACTTCAATATGAAATTATGATTTATATTTTATGGAATAGAAAGGTGTTAAAAATGCCACATCTTGGCCTTAAAAAAGCCCTGAAATCCACTAGCTTCCAGGGGTTTCACCCCCTGTACCCCACTCGGTATCGGCTACGCTCCCTCGCATCACAGTCACCAAACATACAGGTTGGCACTTCAACCTCAATACATTTTTGTTTTGGCACTTCTAATAAACTAGTTGAGAAGGCCTGGTTTAGACGTACTGGGAACGAGGTAGAACTGATAAATAATGGGTTAAACTGACTACTGACTGGCGTGAACTGACTGGAAATGACAAATTTTCCCGATCTGAAACTTGATATGAACCGACTGTGGACGGGGTACAGACGAGATGGACGTATTGAGGACTGTTTATGAACGAACGTGTTATATACATTTTTCAAACATTCTTCCCCGGCCATATCCCGTTTTACGATGTTCTAGGACGGTTCCAGAACGTAGTAAAAACTAGTTTGGTGTGATATCGGGTAAGCCCCCATCACACCAAACTAGGACAATGTTGCAAAACGGTCTCTAACTGTGTGCGAACGGAGTTGAACGTAGTAGCAATTGCTTATGATCTGTTTAAGAACTCCATGGACGGGCTCGGACTGGATTTACAGGAGAGTGCTCTAAAACGTTGAGCCTGTTCACAATTGTCCTCGTTCTGCAACTAGACTGAGTGACAACGTACTTAAAACGAGGAGAACGTACTACAAATGGACTGGTTGCCGTACTATGAACGGAATTGGCTTAGTTTGATCATAATAGGAATTATTTACAACGTGCTGTTGTTGAGCATCAATTAACAGCAGATCAGCCCCTATCATACCAAAATGGTTCTCACTACGTTCTGGAACCGTCCTAGAAAATTGTTAAAACGGGTTATGGTCGGGGTAGAATGTGTACATAATGTCTAAAATATGATCATAGATCGTTCATTAACAGTCCTCAATACGTCCGTCCCGTCTGTTCCCCGTCTGCAGTCAGTTCATATCAAGTTCAGATCGGGTAAATTTGACATTTCAAAGCAGTCTAAGCCCGTCCGTAATCAGTTTAAACCAGTGTTTAACTAGTTCTCGTGCTACCTCGTTCGCAACTGATTTTACTAGTTTTTAACCCGACCAACCAGGGCAGGGACAGTTCAATTCGTCTTCATCTCGTTCTTATTGCGTTTGAACGCGCCCCTATAGGTATCATGGCTTTAAAAACCCAACGTTCTTGCCATTCCTTATTTCCGTTCAATTATACTACTGCTAATTGATGCTCGATCACATTGTAACACGTTCGGCAATTCCGTTCGAAGTACGTTCATCTCGTTTTAAGTACGATGTCAGTCCGTCTAATTGCAGGACGGTGAAATGTTTGAACAGGCTCAAAATTCTAGAACATCCTTCCCGTCTAAGCCAGTCTGACACCGTCCATGAAGTTCTTAAACAGATCGTAAACAGTTGTTACTACGTTGAATCTGTTCGCACACAGTTTAAGCACGTTTGGCACTTTTTCCAGAACGTAGTGGGAACCAGTTTGATCTGCACAGCTTGAAGCGTTGAATTTAAACGGGAAAAGGGATGGCAAGAACGCTAATATTTTAAGATTAACCCTTGACCCAGGACGTGATTGCACACGCTCTATGTGTGCGTTCGAACGCACTAAGAACAAAATGAGGACGAGCTGAACTGAACTTCGGAACGAGGTAGAATTAGTCAATAACGGATTTAAATTGACTACGGACTGGTTTGGACTGCCTGGAAATGGCAAATTTACCCGATCTGAACTTGATATGAACTGACTGTGCACGGGGTACAGACGAGATGGACGTATTGAGGACTTTGAACAAACTAGCATCGCATTATAGACATTATTTACACATTCTACCCCGACCACAACCCGTTTTACGATTTTCTAGGACGGTTCCAGAACGTATAGTGAGAACTAGTTTGGTGCGATGGGGGAGTTAAGACTGAAAGAAAAAGTATCCCAACCGGAAGGAGGTCTTAAAAGCAAATTGAACACAACCGCAAACACTCACGAAGAAATCATCTCAACGTTAATATCAACATCCTATTGTGTTAAAGCCACACTGTCCTACTGTAGCTACTTGCTCCCTCTATATAGAAAACAATGCCTAATCGGTGACCATGGGTCCCCCATGATCCTCTTTTTTATGTTAATTGAGAGCTGAGTTGATAAGATAACCTCCTATCCAGTGACATTGCAGGGTGATGTAATCCCTCCTATAAACTAGTACAGATAAGCTTTAAACCTTAATAAATCGAGCGTGGGTCACGTAAAATGTCATGACGCACATGTGCACACACCGCAATTACCGGCCGTGCCGGTGCGCAGCCGAGGAAACTATTCAATACCGATGGAACTCCCAATTCCTTAACTGAAAAAGGGGTAACTTTGAATGTAACCGCTATATGCATAGCCTTGCGAGGACCTGGAACAATTTCATTCTACGCAATGTGTTCAGTTAAACTAGTTTGTGTTAATACTGTTTGTATTTGAAGCATTTGCATAATACATGTACATGTCCTCTGAGCAAGTTTTGTGTTCACAATACAGACATCATACGGTGGCACACTGATACCTCGGGGAGAATTGCCAAGAGAATGCACCACAGCGATTTGGAAACGTGTCATAGTGTAAACAATGTACACACACTTAGCCGACTTTATTCCAAAGGCCTATATGATATTGTCAGTTTGTCACAATGACGGAGTCAGACCAATTGCTGGTATCTCTTTGGTCAGACAATTGTTTGGCCCCTGGTATATCCTACAGCAATTCGGAAAGTCATTAGAGTATTAATAATTTGGACGCACTGGACTGATACGTCCCATTATTATGCTATTTCCACAATGCCAGAGTACTGTTCCCCAGCCACCCCACCCCAACCGATGTTACCCCCCCCCCTTCCCTCATTTGGAATTATACCAGTGTTATATTTGTTTATAGATCTTGAAGAAGGGGATGTACGCCTAGTCGACGGTAACACTCCAAACGAGGGTCGGATCGAGATCTACTACGCTGGCACATGGGGGACCGTATGTAACGATGGCTGGGGCTACCCAGATACCCAGGTACTTTGCCGGCAGTTAGGCTATCAAACAAACAATGCTAGGGCTTCCCTCGGTGGTAACTATGGATTTGCAAATGGTCCAATACATTTGGATAATGTCAGGTGCACCGGTTTTGAAGTTCGATTGGATGACTGCAGCAGTAATGGATGGGGCTCGCACGACTGTTCACACGCTGAGGATGTCGCTGTTATCTGCACTGGTAAGTTCAAAGATGAAATATGGCCTTTACCATTATTATCAAATGTCTCTTTTCCGTTGATTTGTATTTAATTTCTGTGACAATCATCTTACGTCTATATCACTGTATAACCAACTTTAATGAATTTTGTCCTGGAATGTATCGTTTATTTCGCTTTAGATTAAGTATGAAATAAAATAGGACCACACATATTTACTCTTTACAAAATAAGCTTCATGATTAATAACCAGACGTTGTGTGCCCGGACAGGTTTCCTATCTGGACAGTTGGTTTAAAACCATGAAAACTGTAATTTGAAGAACTTTACGTGGAATATTTATTATATATTTTGAGACCAATTTGTTATGCAATATGATAAAGGATTAATATTTATGATGGTTAGTGCTGTTTAGTACATAGGCCTTCATTTCGTTAAATCCAAAGGCAAAAAGAATACATTTGCTTTTGTTCAGCTTCGGGACACAACCCCCATCTTATTTTTTCTCATCGCTTATGTAAACACGTATTTTCTGTGAAACTTGTTTCTCACAGTATAAATAGGACGATGTGCAGTACTTAAAAAAGACTCCAAGACCAATTTCGGCTATATAGAACAGTTTTCAGAATACCAAAACTATATTAACTATCATACTTTGCAGGTTATGCTAAGATTATGCGTATAATATGAGCGCTCCATCTTCCTGCCAAAATTATGTTAACATTGTTTTAAACTTAACATAGTTTTTAATATTAAGTATGTTATTAAACATACTTTTCACGCTTACATCGATTTTTTTTCAGCATACCACCCTGATATCTTCTTTGTTATTTCATCATTTGCATTTTCAAAATGACATTTTGTTAATATTTGGTTGATTCTGTTGTTTGATTTAAAGTTCCCAACGAAGGGGATGTTCGTCTCGTTGATGGAGCCACGACAAACCAAGGTCGGGTGGAGATCTATAACAATGACCAATGGGGCATTATCTGCAAACGTAGTTCTTGGGGTGCTACAGAAGCGAAGGCTGTTTGTCGACAGCTGGGATTATACCAAAATGACAGTGGCAGTGTTACATTCGGGACTGCGGACGACTGGCGTGTTGGTCCAATACACTCTACAAGCGTTTACTGTAGCGGCATGGAAAGCAGGTTGGATGAATGCAGGATCAGCAACGACGGCAGCGACAACTGTGACCCCAGTGATGTGGCTGGAGCTCGTTGCATTAGTAAGTTTGCAGTAATATTAATAATGACAATAATCTGGATTTATATAGCGCTTTACGAAATACCATCTGATATATTTACCCCGGTCATCGGATTCATTCACAATCAATTTGCACCATCTCCACTCCCTGGAGAGTCTTCCTACCAAATATGGAATCGCTAACATAAATGTTTTCGTGATCCTACCAGGTCCCCATCTCTATCCTGGGTATGTAGTGGCAAATGTAGATTAAATCCTTGCCAAAGGACATGAGTGTTGTGTGGGGACTCGAACCCACGACCTTTGCATTTACCGTCTAGTTTTTAACCACTCGACTACGACACCTCTATGCATGAGGCCCGGCAGTGAATATTTCATTGCAGGGATATAGGGCCCGGTATACCCGAATCATGTGAGCGTTCTTTCATTTGGGTCATGCAAAGACATCCAGGCATATAAATGCATAGGAGATATAGGCGCAATCTCTAGTCATCGTAACGCATGGATCGATGGCCTTGCTAGCTCAATTAAGGTTTCGGATTTGTCCGGATACCTACTTTCGGCGAAAGAGTGGCTTATGCCTAGGTCACATTTGCTCTACAGCTAGGATACGGCGACCGTACGCCCCCGAAATCGAGAGATACTTGCGGCGGTCGAAGAGAATCTGCGGTGGCCTCGGGCTTTAACGATCTACACAAGACAACTCTGGGCGCAGCCGTCATTATCTGTGGTCCCTAGCTGGCCTATTGTTCACTGTACGTACTTGGCATGAATAATATTGAATTGAAAAACGTTACTTATGGAATAAACGGCTTATAATAAGTCAGTATATGACGGCTCGTTTAGAAAACCTCCACGCTTTTTAGGTACCTGTAAAATTCGAGTAAAAGTTATTGCAACTCCGCGTATTCACTGAGATTTGTGTAAAAAGATTCAGAAATTTGAAGCGTATTACACTTTACGTTTCCACAAAAAGCGCCGCATTACATCTGAGCCGTTTAAAACAGAGCAAAATTTATCCACATTAATGATATATGTGCCACCCGGCTAATATCTCTGTGCCACTCTTTATTTCTCAATGTAAAGTCCGAAGTTATTTGTTTTTGTACCGAAGGTTCCCTTGAAGGAGCTGTCCGTCTTGTGGATGGTTCTAGTCCAGACGAAGGCCGGGTCGAGATCTTCCATGATGACCAATGGGGTACAGTCTGTGATAGAGGCTGGGATGACAATGACGCGAGGATAGTCTGTCGGCAGCTCGGGTATACAGGGGATGTTGGGGTGGCTAGAACTGGTGGTACGTACGGCGCTGGATCAGGACCGAAATACCTTACTAATGTCAGATGCAATTCCTATGATGACAGGTTAGAGGACTGCACGCATAATGGATGGGGTGTCACCGATTCGTATTGCCAAAGAGGATATGTCGATGCTGGAGTGCAATGCTTTCGTAAGTAGAAAAAACTAACAATCATAATATATACACCAGATGTTATGCCGCGGTAAAAACCAAATTTGTTGTTGGGTTTTAGCTACCCATTTATCTCGCCTTGGTCGAGTGTGGCTAAATGAATGGTAACTGCATGTGCGCAACAAAGGACTTGCGCGTAGTAATAGCAAGCTTCTTCTTCTTCTTCTTCTTCTTCTTCTTCTTTATAATTTGTGTTATTGAATTCCTTCACTTGGTGAATAACTGTGCATTAGCACATATCTTGTCGGGAAACAGTAGCACTATCACAGATAGTCTTTAGATGAGATACACAAGAAGAATGAAATACGGAAATAATTAAAGTGTAAAGAGATCATATGATATATAAAGTGCAGATTGGCTCGGCCAAGGTCGAAAATGGAAACGAAAGCTCGCTGCTTAGATTCAGAAATTGTACTTTAGGTCATTATCTGAACGATTATCTGCTCTAGCTGAAATAATACACTAGCAACCTGTGTCAATGGCTATATTTTGTCATATGGATTAGGGTAAGGGCTAGGGTAAGGTACAGTGTTTGGTTAAGGCCAAGAACTTGGTCAGTTTTGGATGTTGACAGGTCAGAGCATTTCTCGCCAGAACATGACTTTGTGTCGTAGTGAATTCTATACAGGGAGGTGATATAATAATATTTCTGTAATCACCCCATTTTATAAAGATCCTACGACAGTACTACCAAGCGTCATTTCAATAGACGACATTCGCTTGGTGAATTCATCATCGGAATACGAAGGTCGGCTAGAAGTCCGCGCCAATGGACGATGGGGAACTGTGTGTGGAAACTACGGGGAGTACAGCGTACAAAACATGGCGGAGGTCGTATGCCGGCAGTTGGGATACCCCTCTGAGGATGCTGAGGCCCTTGGAGGGGCGCTTTTCGCGACTGGTTCGGGACTGATCTGGTTGAGAAGTGTTTACTGTACCGGCAACGAGAACAACTTGGACTACTGTAATCATTACACTTGGTTAAACGGCTACTGCACGAACAAAGACGCCGTAGGTGTGAGGTGCAAGGAGCGTAAGTATGCCAAAACTATTTCTATTCTCCATATCTTGTAGGAGGGTCGGATTGGCACTGAAATTCCGTTGGAGAATTCGGATGGCTCTCAGTGCAGACCTCAAATCGACCGTGGGAAAACTCCTCAAACTCCCATGGTCACTGTCTACCTGTCTTTGTAGGTTCAAGGAGTTAGGATAAATGTTAACTCCTTTGGTAGGTTCAAAGTTGTAAACTTATTTTTAGGTGATCGCGTAATCATTTCTTGCTCTGTAGTTTCACGTTTTAATATGCGAAAAGGTTTTCCAATCATCCTTCTTTTTACACACAAATATTTATAGTTACATTTATTTATTATTAATTGAGGATTTTAACGACATGAAAAAAGCTGATAATTATTACATGCTAGTAAAGACAGATATTTAAAGGATATATTTCTCACAGTAAAACTGATGAATAGTGCAAAATGAGAAACAAAGACAGGTTGTACCAAAAGGAAACCATTGAATCGTTTAATTATTTTTATTCATGAAATTTAGTGATATAAGAATGTTTGGTATTATTATAATGAGGCATAACTTTTCTATAACGTTTGAATATAATGTATTGTTATATAGGACGCGGTAATGCACGCGTTTCGATAGCACGCAGTGTTTTTGTTTTAGTAAAATATCGAAACTTGTTAGATTTTTTCATAAAACACCCCACCACGATTTGTTTTGGTTCTGAACAATTTTCTTTGTAAAGTTTATTTCTTGATTACAGGTTATAGACATGTCGATTGCTTGTAGACTATTAAACAAGGTAACCAAGGTTTAAGAAGTCTTATTCAGTTAAACCCGACTTTGGGTCTAAAACAAGTTTACCCTGTTAAACAAAAGGAACAATTAGACCTCAGACTAACCTCCTTTGTTACTCACAATTTTGGACGTCGTGTTTAAATTTTAGTCGAAAAGGGGCTTTTTTTGTAAGTCGTATACAGTATGATAACATGTGAGAACAGGATGGGAAATGATTATGTCAAGCAGATAGGCTCCTGACAAATAGGTTTTTACTTTAATTGTGTTTTATGGTTTTCATTTAGCCTCAAATTCTAATCGAGTAGTCGGTACCATGGCCTTTGTTGGTGTGTCTCTGTCGCTGCTGGCACTAAGCAGTTTCGTAGCCGTGTGGTATACCTGCACTCACGCCAAGCCCAAGACCATCAGACCGACGCAGAGAATGGACCAGGGCATCTGCCTCACCACAGTCAATGCTCGTTCTACCACCGTGACGGATGCCTGTCCTGCTAACAACGAAGGAACCGAAATTACATCATCGCTTTCGTCCTGAGAACCTCCGACGGTTACAATGTCGGGCTCACGTTGGCTCCTCCGCCATCTTAAGCCTCTCTATAAAATGTGAAACTGAAGTCCATGCCAAGACAAAATAGGATCTACCGAAATTAGCATGTAGCAAAAGTGTCCTTCGTGGTTTACTTTAAATATTATGACTATTGCTATTTGTAAAGGCATGAAGATCTAAAGTGCGCTTATCTCTGTGTGCGCGCTAATGTAAATTAACCTATTAACTATGGGGGTTTTTTTTGTCAGCGGTTATTACACGAATCAATCTCGAACTAAATTTTATTTTTCATCCCTAAACAAGGATCATGGGGGGCGTTTCACAAAACTTGTCATCAGTGACAAATTACAGTTTATGTTATAAGCTACTGAAACCCTTGCTTCTAGATTGGTTATCAGCATATTTGTCACTGATTTCTGTAGTTTGTCATTGAAAAAGGCTTTGTGAAACAGGTCCCAGGAGTTTCGTTCTACAAAACAATTTATATTCCCTCGTTCATTACATGATCTATCCGCTCTCGCTGACGCTGCTTTTGCACCTATCATTCTCGGCACGATGGCTTCGTACGATAAATGCATACAGCCTCAGCTCGAATATGAATAGATCGTATAATGAAATCATTCGCATGTAGTGCGACCTTGATTCCAGATCTCAAAAATCGGTGAGATTTCGAACATCTGATATCACCATTGGAAACAGGCTTATAACTTAGTGATGAAATTATCTTTGGAATTGGTTGTAAAATTATTTTAAAAAAACAATGACAAAAGATCGGCAAGATTTGCATTTTTTGCGTCCTTTCCTCAAAATATGAACTCACCGACGAGGGTCGGAAAATATTTATTTTGAGAGACTACGTCATCAAAATTTTGATAAATAGTGAGGCTTACTATTTGTATAATATTTTGACTTGCAATTTATGCAATAAATTTTTACCTTTGATGAATCGCTTATTTGGATAAATCATTTGTAAACTCTCGTGCGTGAATTTTCTAGTTGCATCCATTTGTAGTTGGACGTTCATTTGGTACTAATGATTATTGATCTAAATAAATATATGTGGAACATGAGAAATCATGGATCACCTCATTATATATTGATACCCACCGAGACTAATATTGTATATAATCATGGCAATAGTGGTCAATCATTGATTTTCGTGATACTCAGGTGGAATTATTGTTTTAAAAGCAAAGAAAATTTTGTTCATGTACCGCCGTCGTCATTTCTGAAAGTATTCGTTTATTCTAAAAATGTAAAACGTATATCAATGGACCCCAGGGCCTCTATATTTTTAGAAACCTGGGTCATATTGTAACACGGGCTGATTATGGCTGGTTTAGCGGACTGCCACAAACAATAATATTGTGTGAACAAAAAGTGCTTGTATTGCCATTCGGTCAACAATTTGTTTACGCAGGTTTGGAATTGAATGCCTAATCGACCCCTCATATTACTAATGGTCAAAACTTGTCTCAATAAATATTCATGTTCAAAGTTTTATTTATTTTGATGCTTTTGGAATTAAAAGATGTATATTGTGAAATAATATCCTTGTAACAATTTCAAGCGCTCTCTACATTATTATTGACATCTAAAAACGCATTATAGAAGGTTTTTAGGTAGAAAATGCTAAATTGAAAAAATGCTGACAGCTTATCATAAAAAATAATTCGATTGACGCAAAATGACCAAACTTTGTAAAAAATAAAAACAATTAATAGGAGACCTTTAAGCATTCGCTACATATCAGTACAGAACCTCTTCTTCAGCCTCTATACATTGTGAAGTAGATATTTCTGGATTGGTTAAGTCTAAGAACTAAACTTTAGAAGGTTTAATAATTGTACGTAATAATATAATGGTAAAGCGTTAAAATCAAGGTATTAAATATAATGGATGACAGAGTCTCAAAGCATTTTGGTTTTTAAATTAAATGACTTGATTTCAAATTGAATTTGTTATGATGGAAAAAAGGACTTGTTTTCATAAAAACGCATGTAAATCTCAAGCATTTTCATTTTAGACTTAAGGTTGGGGACATCTCATTTCCCCGTAGAACATGGATGTTTTTAAAGGAAACTGTGTCTAAAGATTTTTTAAACGCTTGGGGTAGTTGTCATGTATTCCAGAAATAATTTGTGTAAAATTCATGTTATTAGGTGATGTATCATGTAAATAGGATTTATATTATGTGTTCACGTCGTGATAATTGTTTGAATTATCATTTGCAAAACTATTATTGATAAGTATAAGAAATACATTTTTGTATTTTGATTATAATTATAATTTTATAATTTTGCAGTATGTTTGTAAATGTGTGCGTGTATGAGTATGTGCGTTGCGTGCGCGGATGCATTGTATATATGTATAATTTTGTGTATGATTATATTTTAGGCAATTTTATAGCGTCTCGTGTGAGTTGCAAATATAACTGAAAATCAACGACTGTGTGCAGGGCGTGCGCAAATAACTTTTGTTAATACCATAATAATTAAAATCGGCATCATTTGTAGGTTTGGGGATTAAATTCATTTAGTTATATTATATATATTACATGAACAAAAAATATTTCATCATCATTATATCCTCTGATCATGTGATTACTGTGCTCTAGTCAACCTTATTAACCGTTATTGGCCACATGGGTTTTATTTTAAATACTTTATCAGGGAGATGACTTTCTTCTAGCTTTTGATTTAATAATTCATTTCTTTTTTTAACTCGTATAAGATCAATAAACCAAAGAATAACATTTTGCTGTACAATTTGAACAAGGGATTTTCAGAGATGATTTGTGTGTGTTTGCGTGCGTACGTGTGTGTGTGTGAGAGAGAGAGAGAGAGAGAGAAAGAGAGAGAGAGAGAGGGAGAGAGATTTGAATTAAAAAAGGTGAGTTAGATAGCGGGTCACATAAAGTGACAAGAAAGAGAGAAAAATTGTTGATCCGGCCATTCCCGAGTCACTCCTGATCCCGATTGGCATTGGTGTGTCACTTTCCTTTATTGTGGTGTTGTTCCCCAACCGATTCATATACCAAATATCCTTACTCGGCAGAATGTCGGTACATAAATTAAATTTGGCGCTGTCGAAAATGGATCTTTCTAACCTGTGACTTTAATGGTACGATCCAGTAAATTGAAACAGTAAAATGGCTGTTGTTTTAAAATTACTCATTAAATAAAACCCGAAACTTCAGTGGTATCAAACAAAATAATTGTATATCTTACTAATAATCAAAAAAGATGTAAATACATTGTGAATGTGTCGCATTTTACCATAAAAGACGCCGATTTAGCGATGATGACGTCATCAGAACCTGTTTATTATTTTGCGCGTGCATCCGGGACGCGACTTTGCGTTTTACACCCTGGCCTGGACCTTTTCCCAATAAATTTCAAGGAACCGACTGGGAAAAGTCTATCCATGACAAGATATTGCGCGCGCACGTAGCTCTTCTGCAATGCTCAACGTACGTCCTATATGTCCAGTGTCGCGGTACGCGGTACGCGAATTTTTTTTCCGTACTCGAGAGGGCAAATACCCCATGTGCGCATGCGCGTGGACTTGTGATTTCTCTGCTACTTCCCATACGAAATGTATGTATTCGCATCTACTGTGCACGATTCGCGTTCTACGAGTAAACGATGGCATAGTAGTCTTCAAACACAGACTCTGATTTGCCAGTTTGACAAAACAATTACGCATATATCGTGCGTAGCAATAGTACTAGTATTCAAGTCTGAGTAGTTGTATGATTCAGACATTTTAGTGCTTACAGAAATGCATCCCAAATTGAATAGCATGGTATAGTAGTCTGCAAGCACAGACGCTAATCGGACAGTTTGACAACATAGTGTCTTGAGTAGTGCTTTATATTCAAATATGTGTAGTTTTATGATTCAGACCCTACTGGTGCGTGTATTGGAAAGGCATCTCAACTTGCAGAGTGGCATAGTAGTCTGCAAGCACAGACGCTAATCTGACAGTTTGACAAAATAGTGTTATTCAAGTCTGAGTAGTTTATGACACTACTAGTATGTTGTCAAACTGTCAGATTAGCGTCTGTGCTTGCAGACTACTATACCATTCTATACAAGTTGGCGACTTGAATAAAGTACTTCTCAGCACACTACTAGTATGTTGTCAAACTGTCAGATTAGCGTCTGTGCTTGCAGACTACTATACCATTCTATACAAGTTGCAATGTATTTCCATATGCACTACTGGGTCTGAATCATACAACTACACAGACTTGAATAAGCACATCGCGACACATACGCATATTGATTTGTCAAACTGGCAAATCAGAGTCTGTGTTTGAAGACTACTATGCCATCGTTTACTCGTAGAACGCGAATCGTGCACAGTACATGCGAATACATGTACATTTCGTATGGGAAGTAGCAGAGAAATCATAAGTCCACGCGCATGCGCACATGGGATTTTTGCTCTCTCGAGTACGGAAAAAAAATTCGCACGCGGTACATGTACTTTGTATCGAGACGTACGAGTGAGAGAAAAACAACGAATTACAACAGAAGGAAATAGAGAAAAACAATAAATAATTAAAGAACAGAGAGGAAACAAAGAATGTCATAAGCAGAGAGAGAAAACAAAAACTAACTTGAAAGAAAGAGAGAAATTAGAGAAGGAATTAATCAAAGTAAGGAAAGAGAGAAACCAAATAATATTATGGTTTTTGTGGTTTAATTCCGCCGCCTTCAGGGTTTCAATTTTTGACGTGTAGCCTACTTTCAAACCATTTGCTGATTCGGACCCCCCCCCCCCCCCCCTAACACACGTGTACACATATCGACACATACACAGACTACACTCGACATAATATGTGTAATGGTAATGTAATACATAAACTGTGATTTAAATATTGCACTCGTACCATTTTCTATTATTGTGGGATCACGTACGTCTTTCATTTTTTAAATTCATGTCATTTGTTTCTAAGACCTAATTTCTCTAATTCTCTTGACCCCTCTCCCTTCATATTTGTTTTCTAAGACCTCCCCCCCCCCCTCATCTCTCTTCATATTTGTTTTCTAAGACCCATTTCTCCCCCGCCCCCCCCCCCCCATCTCTATTCATATTTGTTTTCTAAGACCTCTCTCTCTCGACCCACTCTCTCTCTCGTATGTATTTCTCAGACCCCTCTTTCTTTCTCTCTCATTAACCCCCTCTTCATATTTGTTTCTAAGGCCTCTCTCTCTCTCTTCATATTTGTTTCTAAGACCCCCCCCCCCCTCTCTTTCTCATTTCTTGATATTTGTTTCTAAGACCTCTCTCTCTCTAGCTCTCAATTCATGATATTTGTTTCTAAGACCCCCTCTCTTTCT